TGTGTGCTTTCTAGTATTTAGATAGAATGGAGATTATTTGCCGCAATACTAACATTCAATGCATAGAATAAAGATTAAACTTGATTAAGCTACTCACATAATGTATTCTATTACAGTATGAAGCTAACGTTAACTTACTCCGTTGGTTGGTTTGGACGGAAGTTAATGAAGTTGATATTAATTAGAATGCTGGTTTATGATTCGGTTACTTCTGTATTACTCAGTAGTTGCAGAACTTAGTTTATACATACCAATAAAATCATTGATTTATCAGATATAGCAATGCACATGCGGATTATTCCCGCTTAAATAGCTTGTATTTTGTTACGAAGGATGATTCAAATGTTTTCTATCAAGGTTTGCCTGTAAATTTGTATTAGCATGCTACTTTGACGATAGTTTTTTCCATTGAAGGAGAATTTCGAAAATTTTGTTTTTTCTGTCAACAAAATTCAATGTTTAATTTTGTTCAGTTGTGCGATACCCTGAGTCAGAATTGACTGTCAATGGATGAGCCACCTGCTGATATCTGTCTGTGTTTTTCACATTTCCCGGGCATGTTCTCCTCAGTAGTAGTTGCACTTTAATAATTAAATATTTGTGAGGTGTAGAAAACATTAATACATCATGAATGGTTAATACTATTTTCTTTAATACTGTCCAATATTTTCATGAAGTATTTCTAGTATGGATTGCAGATTATAAATGGTTTTCTGAATAAAAAATTATAAATGGTTTTCTGAATAAAAAAATCATAAATGGTTTTGAGTGTCAGAACCACCCATGAAGAAAAAAATTGATTCAGATCCAGTCCGGACATATGCTCATGATTAAGACTTTCTTTCCCGTGTTTAAATTTCAGATTTTTCCATGCATTCGTCCAAGTAAATTTATTGAAAATCATAAATGAAAATATACTTATTTTACCACATTATGCCTTGTAGCTTTGTAATAGGTAGCAATCTTCTATCCTGGTTCTAAAAAGAGGAAGAAAGAAGGCTTGTGAAAGTCTCCCCTTAAATGCAATGCTGAAAAATTGTTTATGGTTCTGTTTTTTGTAGGTCTGGCACAGATGCACCAGATATAAATGATGAACAGGATCAGCTAGAGAAAAGGCTGAGGGCAGCTTTTGTTCAGCAGTTGGTATTCTCAACCATATTGGAGTAAATGTGGTAGTAGAGTTTACAGTCACACACAGCATGGATTGGTAGCAGCTCCTTTTTAGATTGCCTCATGCTGGTTCAACAGGCACGGAGTTTTAATGTGCTGTATGGGTTTAGGGGATGTGAAGTAGTCTAAGTCATAGTTGTATGCATTTAACTATATTTCATATCTTTCAATTGAAGTTTGCCTTTTGGTACACTACATAAAAATTCATCAATCTGCTTTACCGTTACCTTATTGATGGTGCCAACTGATATTAGTCTGAGATTATGTATCTCATTTTAGTTATTTCGTAGTACTAGTTCTGCGTTTCTATGAAATGGAAACAAGGTTAAAACACTGATAGATCTAAATCAAATAACTATCACTGTATAAAATAAAGTTGATTCTGTCCATCCTGACGACAGTATAGGAAATAACCGAGGTTCAAGTCACAGATGTACTAGTCCCAATAGTATATATATATATTTTTTTGTCACATCTTAGATGAATGCTTAAAAAACAAATAAATAAAAGTGATTTTCAGCTGATGTTACCGAAGAAAGTGCAAATATTGAAGTGTACTCGCGATTATTCATCCTTTTACTTACCAAAATATGAAATGAAAACACTCATATCATTCTTTTTAATTAGTATATTCTTAAGTGAAATCTTTATATAAACACCTATAGGAGAAAGTAAACTGATTATTTGGTGATGAGTGTATGCGTATGGATGCATTTTTAGTAGTCCTCAGAATCTGTTTATTTAACTGTATTTTCTTTTAATTGTAATTTTGATTTAGGTCTTGATGTCAGATCTCGATTAAACACATTCAATCATGACCTAAGTTTAGTTATAGTCTCGATTTCATGGAATATGAAAAACATGTCAAATACGCTTCTTACCAGACAAGGAAAACATGAAATTAACTTACAATGTTGCGCCTAAGGAGAGAACATAAATAAAATGTGCCAGAGCCTGTTTGGTGTCTTGGAGAACAAGGATGAAATCACATGGAAATCATGATCTCTCTTCAAACAAGCCAACCATGGAATGTTCCAATGTCATTTTAAATTTTAAAACATTCCTTCTTTGTGAAACTGTGAGAACATTGTTCTCTTTCTAGTGTAACACTATTTAAGTCTTGTTTTAAAATATTAAGAATTCAAATGGCAGTGTATCTTCTCACTTATTCCTCATCATATTCCATCTTTTACTTTTCCTTGTTTGAATTCTGGGTTCTTATTATAGTTATGTTCATATTTTTTTTACTCTCTGACTCAAATTTAAACATGAATAAATATTATAAACATTAGGCATAAATTTTATGTTTTGGTTGTAATCTTACAAGAAGTTGAGCTAATTGACTCAATGCTAACTAATTGAATTTAATAGATAGTAAATAAGAACCATAAACAAAAAATAGCAAATAATGTGTTACCAAATCTCTTTAATTTTATCATAATGACTACTTTAGGTGGTTGGTTAAATCAGCAAATCATACGGGTGAAAACACAAAACACACCTTTCCCATTCATGTTTTAATGTTGCATTTGTTCATTTCCAGTATTACAAATATAAAGTTTGTGCAAATCAAGGAACGTGCAAACACAAATTACTAATTGCAATTCCAAAATTGTTACATATCATGTCAGAAAAAATGGCAGTTCCAAAATTGTTACATATCATGTCAGAAAAAATGGCAGAATTTAATAAGAGTCCTGAGACTATAGTTGTAAGTAGCTCTAGTGAAATATGCATGTAACTTAACAATTAGCTTTAGGCGGCGGCCCAGTTGCTTATATATAACATGTGAATTTAGTTAGCATATCAAATTTTTAATCACTCCTTGTAACAAAATAAAAAGGATTCCGTGCTAACATATTAAAGAATAAATATGATAAAAAATTCACTCGTAAACTGTCCTTACTTCATATGGAAATCGTAATGATTGACATAAAGAAAAGAAGGAACCCACATTAGAATTGGAGATCCATGACAGAAGTTATACTTGTACCACAGAAGAATTCTCTCTGCTTCTTCCAGATATTCCTGAGTCCTAGTTCTCTCCTAATTTCATTCTCCTATTGAGTCCCCATTGTTTTACTTTCCCTGTTTGATTGTTTAAAAAAACACTAAGTCTCTTGAGTGCAGAAGACAAATAGTATCAATTTGTCTACCCCTTTTTCATTGTTCAAGGTATATTTTTAATTATATCGTTTCAGTAATGGATGGACAATCAAAGACCAAAGGCATCATGCCATAAAAGTAGAAATTAAGTATCAAAGGGAAATGAATAGGCAGTTAGCACATGATTAATGGTGTCGTTTTCATAAAGGCATTGCCCTGTCCTTAGTTTACAAGGGTCAGTACAGATCACAATCCAATCTTATATTCCACAAGCTTGCCTCCTCTCATCAATCTATCATTCAACTAATATTTTGCTAAGCAAAGTTCGAGTTCTGCTGTAAAATCCTCTTCCAAGCCATTCAAGAAAACACCTTTTAGGTATTTTTGTTCAGTGCTTCTCGGCAGGTCAGCATCCAAGTAAAAATCAGTCCCTGAAAACCTCCGTGAGATAGTTTTCTTCAAACTGAAAAGAAATCCACATGTGTTTCTCATCAAGGCTGAAATTGTCTCTCATCACTGCTATTCAGACAACCTCCAAAGAGGACTCAGTGTCAGTGAACAACATCCCCACCATCAAAACCAACCAAAAGCCTTCCCCTCCATAGTCACCATGTCAGCTGGAACCTTTCCCCCTCAATTCTCTCCCTCTTCTTCAACTAGGTATTCAAGATAACTGATTCTCTCGATTTCAATTCACTTCTGAATTGACTCTACTGAACTCCCTCCATCCCCTTGTATCATTCGAGCACAAGTACTTATTCTGTTAAAAACAAAATCAAATCCTCATTCCCCCTGTTGTGTGTGTAGGGAGGAAGGGGGAGATCTTGTCAACTGAACCTATTATTGTAATACACATTAAAATCAATATAAATGAGTGGGAGAGAACAGAGAACATTTACAGTTTATCTCTTACAAAATGTCATGCAATATCTTACATAAAGATGACAAGGAAGCATCTTCTATTGACTCTGGTTATGAATGTGATCAGGAATCAGGATACATTAGTACGACTGAACATAAACATAGCTTAAATCTGATATTGCCAAGATAAGTAGTTAACTTGTCCGTTTGCATATTTACAATAAAGACCTATACATCCAAAATAATATTTCAGTAAGACTTCTACCACACAACTGTCTCGGGGATATTGCAACACCAATCATATCTTCTATATATCTAATGATAAAAAAGGGGTGGCCACATTAGTGTAATAGATTAAAAATTATTTTCTGGAAGAATTCAAGCAAACAACCCCCCAAGCCCCCGTCTATTTTAGTTTAATTTAGATGAGAGAAAGTAAGTTGTTATTCGCATTACTGTAACTCCAACTCCTATTCAAGGGATAAGGAGCTCCCCTCTTCATCCAAAGGGAAGTGACTCACCCTCCATCCAAACATAGCATGACTGTACTAAAGAGAATTGTTCGGGTTTGCAAGACAAAGCTCCTAAATTCAGGCAAACAGAAATTGTGGAATCTTGCTCAAGCAATTAACAGATGAATTATAACAACAAAAAGGATAGAAGTCTAACAAGCCATTGGTAATTCATTGTCCAACTTGACTAAACATCATCTAGAAACCTACAAAATATAACAAAATGGATATAACAGCAGTTGTGTAAAATGACAAAACTCAATTGCACAAACCCATCGTCGATGATGGATACTTTCTTTGCCCACAACAAATGTAAGAGTCAAGTAGTTGGGCAGCCAATCTCACAATAATCTACTCAATGATAGATTGGATAACACCAGCTCCAACAGTTTTGCCTCCTTCTCTAATAGCAAACCTCATTCCTTGTTCACAAGCGACGGGGACAATAAGTTCAACCACCATCTTAACACGGTCACCGGGCATCACCATCTTGGACTCCTCATCCTTGTCATTCATAATGGCAGTGACTTTGCCAGTAACATCTGTGGTCCTCATGTAGAACTGAGGCCTGTAACCGGCAAAGAAGGGAGAGTGCCTGCCCCCCTCTTCCTTCTTCAATACATACACAATTGCAGAAAACTTGGTATGAGGGGTAATGGTTCCAGGCTTAGACAAAACCATCCCTCTCTGAATATCAGTCTTCTGAATACCCCTAAGCAACAACCCCACATTGTCCCCAGCCAAAGCCTCGTCCAGAATCTTCTGAAACATTTCTACCCCAGTCACAGTTGTGTTCCTAGTTTCCCTCACGCCAACAATATCAACCGTCTCTCCAACCTTAATGGTACCCCTCTCAACACGGCCAGTGGCCACGGTTCCACGTCCAGTGATGGTAAACACATCCTCAATGGCCAACAAAAAGGGAAGATCAGTTTGGCGCTGAGGGATGGGAATGTAGTTATCCACAGCTTCCATGAGCTCGTAAATCTTATCAACCCATTGGTTTTCGCCGCGCTTGATGGAAGGGTTGGCCATCAAAGCTTCCAAAGCCAACAGTGCAGAACCAGAAACAATAGGAACATCATCACCAGGGAACTCGTACGAAGAAAGAAGCTCGCGAACCTCCAATTCTACCAACTGCAGAAGCTCCTCGTCATCAACCTGGTCCTGTTTGTTGAGGAAAACCACAATGTTGGGAACACCGACTTGTTTGGCCAAAAGAATGTGTTCTTTGGTCTGCGGCATTGGACCGTCGGCGCCGGATACAACGAGGATGGCGCCGTCCATCTGGGCGGCACCGGTGATCATGTTCTTAACGTAGTCGGCGTGGCCGGGGCAGTCGACATGGGCGTAGTGACGGTTCTCGGTCTCGTACTCGACGGTGGCGGTGTTGATGGTGATGCCACGGGCGCGCTCCTCAGGGGCAGCGTCAATTTCGTCGTATTTCTTGGGGGCGCTATTGCCGAGGGAGGCGAGGGCCATGGTGAGGGCGGCGGTGAGGGTGGTCTTGCCGTGGTCGACGTGACCGATGGTGCCGATGTTGACGTGGGGCTTCTTGCGTTCAAACTTGCCACGGGCGGCGCGGACGGTGAAGGAGCGTCGGCGAAGGGCGGTGGGGGTGGGAGCAAGGTGGAGGACGGTGGAGGGGTGAATGGAAGAGGAAGAAAGGTGGGTGGTGGAGGGTGTGTGGGTTTTGAGGAAGAGAGAATTGGAGGAGGGTGAAGGAGAGGGGTAGACATGAGGGTATGCGAGCTTTGAGGTGGCTGCTGCTGCTGCTGCTGCTGCTCCTGAAGAAATTGCCATCGGTGATGGGTGGTGGAAGTTGGAGAGTGAAGTTTTGGGTTTGGGGAAGGAGAGTGAAAGAGTGAAAGTGTGCGAGTGAGAAGAAGAAGAAGAAGAAGAAGAAGAGAGGATAGGGAAAGGGTTTGGGAAATTGTTATGTTATCTGCGGTGGACGAAAGAGGACCTCATCTTATATTTTATCCCTTTTCTCCCTCTTATTTTGGAGGGACTTCACATCCAATGTTTGCTTCAGTTATTTTCATTTTAGTTTAACATTTTTTTTTTCGTATTACTGTTTAATGCTTCTGCTTTTCATCATAAACATTTTGAGCAATTATCTCACAACCACTTGTTTTAAAATATAAATTTATTTTATCTTCTTAATACATAACATATTTTATATGATGTATTATTTTATTTGTTTAAAACTGAAAAAAAAATTAAGATTGAAAGCAAGTTATTTATATAAATAATTTTATTCAATTTTAAATAGTTCATATATAAAAAATTTCTACTTAAATAAAACTGTTCCAATTCATATGTTATTATTATTATAGAGATCCCCAATTAGTGATGATAAAAAAAATAGAAATTCAAAGCAAGGAGATGCAATTAGTAAAATGTGGGGTGCAGAAGCACTTGCCCACATTTTCTTAGCCTTGTTTACAGGCCTTGGGATTGGGACCTTCTAAGTACTGACCAAATGTTGGGCTATCAAATTGAAGACCATCTCCAGGAACCTCCTAACAAACTGAAGAGGAAATTGAACGAATTAGCAATTATAATGATTTGTAAATATTGCACCAAAAGAAAAACTGAAACACAGATACCTAAGGCAATGATTTCTACAAAAGTTTTGTGCAAAGAAAATGAGAGAGATTCATTGAAAAGGAACAAAGTGCATTTTTTTTATATATTATCGACCAGAAAACGACAAATAAAATGAAAATCAAAATGGGTTTTCTCACTAATGACATTAAAAGAAAAAAAATCTAATATCTCAATATAAACGTATATTTCCTTTTTTTTTAACGTATAATAAATAAATTACAGTCACAAGTTTCATGTATCTAATATACTTATATAACTATTTAAACTATATTATATATCTAAAACAACTAATACGATACTTTTGACATTTTTCTTAAAATTAACAGAAAAAAAACTTTTGACTTATAATAAAAACAAAAAATAATATCTTTTCTAACTCAAGGTAACAATAAAAATAATAAAAAATACTTTTAACCTACTATAAAATAAGTAATTACTAAAAAAAAATCAAGTTTTTAATAATGATATCTTAAAATAAAGAAATTAAATAAATAAGAAATATAATAAAAAAATATACATTTTAAAATTATATTATAAACATAATAAAAGAATATATATATATATATATATATATATATATATATATATATATATATATATATATAACCATAAAAGGGACAATTAAATAACAGTTAACCGTAATCTAACAAATAATTGATATTAAAATTAATCGTTTGACAATGATCGAACTCAAGATCCGATTTTAAAAAGAAATCGAGCAATGCCCGATCTTAAAAGTCAAGTCTCACCAGATAAAAACTAAAATATAGCCTTAAAATTGATAATAAATATTTATAATCAATTTTTATTAAATATCATCGTTAAAAGATTAATGAATTTTATTTTTGTGCACCAGAAAAAAGATTTTACAAACAAAAACAACGGAAATTAAGACAAGTACGAACTTTTAAAGATTTTTTGCAGTAGTGGATATTTTCACCATTCATAATGATTCGATATCAGTAATATAATTTTTTTAATCTTCAATCATTATCTCGAGTTTAGTTTACTACTGAGTTTTACTACTAGTTTATTTGTTAAGTGATAAAAAGTTGATATAATTATATCTTGAATTGTTATAAAACCACTTAATTTATGTTAATTCTAATATATTTTTCTCTCAATGAATTTGAGAATACCTTGATACAAGAGCAAGGAGCATAATTGTCAACATAATTGGAGTAAAATTGAAAGAAAGAAGAGCGTTTAAGCGAATAAATGATGCGAGATTCGGCCCAAATTCTCTTATAAAAAGATAAGTTGTGTTTTGAGAAAAACAAGCAGTCTTGGACAAGAGGAGACACGACTACGGTTAGAGTTTTGTTCAATCTTCATCAATTCTTCGCTTCTTCATCAATTGGAGCATATAATGGCCAAAATGAGTGACTAACTTCATTCTCTTAGGATTCGGTGCACTTCCTTTGAACTCTTTTGTATCATGGTGATATTTTAAGATATTAATCTATGCTTTGATGTTATTCTTATCTTCTATGCTTTGGAATGATTTATTCCTGATTGTTTGAGGTATGATTGGAAAATATATCTTGAACCCTAGATCACGGTAAGAATATTTGTTACGTTAATTGTCAGAAATGGAATGAATGTATCAAGTGCTTAAACACCCTAACCCTAATACTGGAAAATCTGTTAATTGTGTGAGGAATCAACATTTATTAGGTTTTCTTATGAATTTCATGTGTGAGGAATCAACATGGATGATTTGAGTAGGTGACATCAACATTGTTAGGTTAATTGACGTTCTTAATTTACATAGCCATTACAAAAGAGGGATAAGGAAGGAAGCTAATCCTAAGTACCTTTAATTGATATTTTCTCAACAATTTACAAGTCTTTGTCATTTAATTTCAATTCAACTCTTATTTGCAAAACCTAATCTGTTTTAATCTACTTAGTAAGCATAATTGAGAATTTCAATTGAAACTGTTCATCAGTGGTATCGACTTTTATTTAATGGAAATACTATACTCTGCGATTGATAATTTGGTACGCTTGTCAATAATTCAACAAGTATTTTAGTTTTGAAACTTAAAAATAATTTTATAAAATTTGTGCAGTGAAAACAGAAAAAATAATTTGATAAATGATAAGAAATGCAGTTTATTTTGAGTGGTTTCCAATAAAAAGAAATGGATTAAAAATTAAGTGTAAATAAAATGTTGTTTCTTTGGTTTGAGTTGAAAGGAGAAAAATTAGTAAATGTATAAAAATACCATTATAATCTCATACTAGTAGTGAAAACCATGAGCTATGCATTATTTAACAAGTAAAATTGTTGTATTTGAACATTTTGTTCCTGTAGAAAAGAAAAGAAAAATTATAAATTAAAATTATCTTATACAGAACTTAAAAATTAAAAAGTGGAGTGTAATAATGTATGGATTCAAACTATTTCAAAATTTAAATAAGCTAAACCCAAACTTTATCAAAGTGTTCACTTTATTTCAATCATATTCATCTTCGCAAAATCATTACCAAATAGAGTCTAAAAAACACACACACTTTAGTAATATTTATGGATGGTAGTTGTAAAGTTTAATAAATAAAGCATCCAATGTCTCAAGCTAAAAGGAAAAATGAAATCAGAAGAAAAAATCAGAAAAGAGATTAGTGAATGAAATTGATGAGAATAAGAGTGTGTGTGTGTGTGTTTATAAGAATGAAGTCCCTTTTATACTTCTTATGCCATCTTGAACCAAACTGGGGAGAAAGAAGTGAGTGATTAGGTGAAATTATGGTAGATTTGGTAGAGGAAGCACGCAACCTGGACCTAAACTGAAGACATGATTGTGGTGGTGCATGTGTTTTTTTTTCACTTGTGTCCAAGAATGGCCTCAATTCAGACCTGGCTGGACATGCAATTTCGAGACATGGGGTGTGCCCCATAACATCAATGGACCATTCACGGTTCCTAATCTCTTGCTTTACACTTCAAATTGTTCCACAATTTCTAGGCATGTTTGCAAGTGCTAGACCAAGCCTCAAACAAACACACTATCACCATCATTCAAAAGAAATAAATAAATAATTCAGATAAGAGAAAGAAGAAATAAAGCGTTACCATAATATTGATTCACATGATCAGAAAAAAGGTGATATCATTCTGAGAGTAAAAATCTTTAGCAGCGAAATCGTATCATAGTTAGCATAATATAATGATGTTACGATTTGTGACTTAGTAACGAATTGAATTTGATTGGAAAGATAGCAAAGTTAATGATCTAGGTGAGCATTATTAATCAGGAGAGAAAATGAGGAAGCATGGGAAATCTTAACTACGCCTTTCTCACAAGGGTTTGGTTAAAGATAGAACATCATAGTTTTTTTTGTTTCACTGTTAATTCAACCTAATCTTTAGCATATTCATTCAAACATGCCGTTCTAAGGCTTAATCATAGGCTACTCATAGATGTATACTAACTTGCTTTAGGGACCACGTTTTCAATGATTTACATTCAATTTGTTACTGTTTTCTTCTTCTTAATTTAATGTTCCATTCATTAAGAAAAAAAAACTATTAGACCCATCTACCTTTTTTAAGCTAAAAAATCCACTTCAGAATTAAAAAAAAATTATGTTATGTGATATTTATAATTTTTTGTATTTCTAATTGAAAATTGTTGTATTTATGTTCTAAATCCATCAATTATAGAAAGCCTTTTCATTTATATGATTTAAGATCTATTAACTGTTTTAAGAAAATCAAAATAAATAGACCGATTAAACTGATTTAATTGGAAATTAGTTTGAAAACACTTTTACATAATCTACTTTAAATCGATACAAAATTAATAAAATTAATTGAATTTTTTATAAAACAAACAAAATTTAAGATAAACTATTTTTCATATAATTTTGTATAAAAAAATATATTATATTTTAGATTTATTTTATTTTATATTAATTAAATCAACTTTAAATAATAATTATTTTATTATATTTTTATCTTATTTTAATAATTATTTATTATATATTCTCTAATATATTTTATATTTATAATTTTTATTATAATTTAGAGTGATTATTACATTCATTTTTATTATTTTTTTATAAAAAAATATTGTTATTAATGAATTTATTATATTATAAAAATATTATTTTAATAAATATAATTGGATCTAATTAAATCTTAAAATAATGAATTTACGTAAATATCAATTTAATTATTATGGGTCCAATTTAAAAAAAATGAATTTATGTATTTTTATTATCTCAAACAATTTTTACAAAATAATAGTAGAAAAAATAGTTTTTTTTTCATACAAATTAGAATAACAACCACATGCTAATATTAGTTTGAGTGAGTATATTATAATTCCTCTTATTTTGTCATTAAGTAAAGTAAGAGAGGATAAAACAAATTATTAGAAAGATCCAAATTTAATATTGCATGGAAATAAAATCTAAAAAGATATGTAAAGAAAAAACTTAAAATTGAATTTTATTAATTAGTTTAATTCCAAACTAAAACTTTAAAATGTAATTTTTTTTTAAATATAGACGCAGCTTAATCTTTGTAAGACTATACAATAATTATATATATATATATATATATATATATATATATATATATATATATATATAATGAAGTTAAAATAAAAAAGAGAAAGTAGATATTTGATCATTTTTATTATTTTATAATTTTGTTCTATTATTATTTTCTTTAGTCAAGTTAGTTTTACTCTACTTCTAAAAATAAAAGAATATGGTTCCTGCTTCTATGTTGAAATGAATATTGTTATTGCTTGGACTATATTGACACATCATTAATTTACGTTATCATGTCAATAAATATAGTTATTTTAGTATTAAGTTGTGTTTTTAATTAAATAATTAAACCACTTAAATAAACATAACGATATTAATTTAATTTAAAATGAATGAAAAAAATTGAAAAAATCTATTAATATATAACTATGAGAACCCGGATTCAATACCAATTTATTTGTGCTTTTGTTTTGAGTAATGTTATTTAGCCAAACTTACACTGCACAATCATGTAAATTAAGATTAAACGCAGATCACTTATTATGTGTGGCTAGCTGCTATCTTTTTCTTTTGGGGTAAGCTACCTATCTTTTTCTTTTTTCTTTTTGGTGAGTATCGAGTGGAAGCTGTTAGGTCTGAAGCAGTTGGAAAGTGTTGGACCCTCGGAAAAAAAAAGAAAAACAATAAAATGGGACCTTATCCAATTGCATGTGGACAGTTCAGGTTGCTAAATTACCTAAAACATTGCACAGGTAAAATGAAATTACTAGAATGTAGCTTGTGTGGCCTATTTCATCTTTCACTTTTAGTTTTACCCCTGCATTACAAAGCTACATGGATTTAGCCTGCAAAATTTTAGAGGGTTGCTGACTAGAAAACCACCCAAGACTCTTTGTCACGAAGCAAAAATATGCTGAACTCTAGCTATAAGACCAGATCTGCAACTTCCATGTAGATTCCTCACATATTTTCTGCACTACCTGCAGTCCTTAGATTCCCTCTCCCACCCTTCTTTCAAGTAAAAAGTTCAGATAAAAGCTTTTCAGAAACTCCCAGTTCACAAGCCTTGCAATAGAAAAACCTTTCAATTGTAATAGTTTAACGTCATGTTAAATAAAATAGAACTATGCTTTGATTAAAAAATATTGAATTCTTCCTTAGGGTGAAAGGATTTTCGTTTGAATGAAAATTTCAAGTTCAATACTTGCAAACTTAATTAAAACGTCACATGCAAGAGCCATATGAAGATCCTTTCAAACAAGGAAGAAATATGATGAGTCTTACATTGGAAAGCTAACCCTCACTACTACAGTTTTTCTTTTGACCTTATCATAGTCCCATGTCATGTGGTGTTATGAATATAGATGACTCCCAAGTTAGTAAAAATCTATGCACCAAATCTGATGAAAAATACTAGCTGGGTCCTCTGCATCTAACTGTGCCTGGAAGTAAGCACTTTTGAATATAGTAAAATTTTAACAACTTTGGATTCGAAAAAGTTTTTTTAGGCTCAACTTTGAACTTAAAAAGGTAAACATTAACCGAAATAAAATAATAATAATAATAACAACAAAAGAAGTGACAAGTAAGTGAGAGAGGCGCAGAATATAAAAAGGGTTGTTCTTCACTCGCTCTCACTCACAGCCAGTCTATATGCCAGTTTGGAAATATTCTTTCTAAATCCAATTAATGCTGCCATAAACACCTCTGGCAGCATCTAGCATTCATTGAGCTTGTGACTAAGTTCTTTAATTAGGCCTTTTACTCCTTTCATATTTCACATTAAAACCTTTCCAATTCCATTTTCCTCTTGTTTTCATCTTCTGATTTAGCTAGCATCACCATATTCTGCTCTTGAAAGTTCACCATCAAAAAATGATGCAGGACTCAATTGGGATCAATATTCCTGCTTGTTTTTCTTCTTCAGCGGAGAAGCAGCATGGTGATGATCATGGAGCTGTGACCCGCTCAGGCCAGAGCGTGTACATGTCTGTGTATAGAACGAAGGTTGCTGATCACTGCCGTTTGATCACCATCACATGGTGCAAAAACCTCTTGCTTCATGGGCTTTCGGTGTCAGTGGAAGGCCCTGAAGGAGAAGAACAGTACACCTGCAAGGTTGAGCTGAAGCCGTGGTACTTTTGGAGGAAACAAGGCTCCAAACGCTTCATAGTGGATGGTAAAGCCGTTGATATTTTCTGGGACCTTAAGGCTGCGAAATTTAACGGTGAAACGGAACCAACGTCGGAGTACTATGTGGCAGTGGTTTGTGATGAAGAGGTTGTGCTGCTCCTGGGTGATCTAAAGAAAGAGGCATACAGAAGGACTGGATGCAGGCCAGCACTTATTGACCCCATTTTGGTTTCAAAGAAAGAGCACATTTTTGGGAAGAAAAAATTTTCCACTAGAGCCAAGTTTCATGAGAAGGGTAGGTGGCACGAGATTTCAATCGAGTGCAAGAACAAGGGAAATAATGGGGACTCGCTAAGTGGGGTTCAGCCAGAGATGGAGATAAGGATTGATGGGCAATTGGTGATTCATGTGAAGCACTTGCAGTGGAAGTTTAGAGGCAACGAGTCAATTCATCTCAGCAAAATGAGAGTAGAGGTATATTGGGATGTTCATGATTGGCTGTTTAGTCCTGGTTTAAAGCATGCGTTATTCATTTTTAAGCCAATTTTATCATCAAGTACTACCACTTCTTCTGTATCATCTTCGTCGCCTTCACTATCATCCTCGTCACCTCCGTTATCTGCTGATCAGATAAGGAGTTCTGGATCAGTGGAGGGATTTAGTGTTAGTGGGTCATCAGAGTTTTGCTTGTTTCTCTATGCTTGGAAGGTTGAATGAAGGGACCATGCCAACTTAATGGTATATCATCCTCTATCAACACCGGCAAAATAAGGTTGAAAATGGACTTGGTCTCCTAGTCATAATGGAGTGGTGAAGATGCAGAATGAGACTGGGTTGAGAGAAAGAGAGAGAGAGATGGGTTTGGTTTGGTTTGGTTTGGATTGGGAAAGGCAGTGGGGCCAAACAGTGGCTTGGGAGTTAGTTACAGCTGGGGTTGAGCAAATGCGCATAATTGTGGACAGGACAGATTGTATCACATTCACAATCACACACATGCCCAATAATTCTCCATCTAGAGGCATCTACGTCTCCACCTACATTTTACCACATTGGAAAATGCTCTTTCTTGATCCAATCTTGGTAAGCGAGCTGTATATGTTTCCTCCAAAATCTATCAACCAAAGGTACATGTTACCTAAATTTTGTATCACAAAAAATATATATGTAGACAGAAGATTACTAAACTGAATGTTTGTATTTGCCCATAAAATTATAAATGTTCATGCATGTGACAGAAAATGGCAACCCGGAAAGAGAGGATGGGTGTTTGGTGATGATGTAGAAACAAGAGTGCAATAATCCATGTATGTGCACCTCACGCACATTAATACACATGGTTCTCTTTCTAGTAGTTGGATTATCACCATCATCGTCATCATTATTGTTTAGCTTCTGCCTAAGTTCGTTAATCTATTCGGTATTGATTCGGAAACTCTGTATAAAAATTTTAGTACAGATAGCCAGGTAGGTGAAGCATTGAAGAAAATGAATGAAGAGCCATAGAATTTATAGAATATATAGACGTTTGTTAAGGCCCAGATATATGGTTCTGTTTTTGGTCCAAGGTAGTATTTTTATATTCATTTTATTCCTTCTACCACGCAGGGCTTATACTACACATCCACGAGAAGAGATGTTGTCACTCTACTTGGTATAAACATGTAGAAAACTATCATTTTAAATAAATGCAACGTGCAGAGTAATAAGTTTCTTTTAGAAAAATATACAAACGATGCATGCAGCAAAAGCTGTGTTAAAATGACAGCAGCATTTGTTGCAAGGTAAAAAATAGTAGAATTGTTCTTTTGGGGTCAAAAGAAATGAGAAGTGGACTACAAAGTTCGTCTTTTTCGGGAAGCAGTTGAAATTTTTTTGACCAAGGAGATTATAAATTCACGTCAACGTCGAAAACAATGATAACGAGGTCACACTGAAAGATTCAAAAGTATGCGGCCAGGGACTAGGCTGATTTTTTAAGAAAAATAATGCGTAGGTCCAGATGTTATTGTTTGACACAGGTAATAATTTAAGCGGCAAAGTGACATGAACGTGAGCATAAATTTATGGCAGTTATCGTGAGATTCTTAAGATGCTAGTATGCTTTTGGCTGTAACTAATAATACATATATATAAGAAAGGAGTAGAGCATGAATAGATAATATGTTGAACCCTGATAAATTGTTTGGACAATGTTTGAATTTCATCTTTGATAAAAATGTTCTTTAACTACGCTTTTATCTTTCATTCATGATTGCTCATTAGAGAAAAAAGTTATTAATTAATTTTAAAAATCTAATGTGACATAGTAGAATGGGATGCTTTTGTGAGACACTAATCTTCAAGAATATGCAATAAATTTAAGTTGCCGATAGCATACATGGAGGAGATCTACTCATTTTGAACCAAAACCAAACCACCTTGCCAAGAAGAACTTATTTTTCCCACGTGAGGCCTCCTTTTCTGCATGTTGTGGTGCTGGTGACGGTGCTGGAGAAGGAGATAGCAAAGGTGGCGTAACAAGTTTGACTGCAAGAAGAGTTGACGTCATCATATTCATAGATGGAACAAGGTCAATTACTGACACTGTGCATTCATTAACTAGTGGAACTTTACTTATCAAACCACGAGTTCAAAATATGTAAACATAGCTAAAAAGCCATAATGGGAATAAAGGGAATATAAGGAAAGAGAATGAAATGCAACCTGGATTTGGTGAAACCTTGCAAGCTTTAGAACTTCTTGTGTCGAAGGAATTTGTTTTTGAACTTGATATGGTGGGTTCTCGGTCAGATATAGAGCTTGACTTTCTCTCGCGAAATTTACGCTCCGTGTTTCCTTCACTGTTTTTTTCACCTATAATACCAAGAATAAAAGATATACTCTTAACTGTTGAGAGAAGATTGTGAAGTATCAGTAGCATTTCAACCTGATATAATGTTCAAACTATAAAATCTGCTGATATTATCTTAATTTACAGGTTAATTACTAATTACTCTACTGCGTCTGCAATGTACCTAATATTGTAGTTCTGTTAACAAAATAATTGATGTTCAGTATCCATGGTATATAAAAGCGTTTGTTCAAATTCATCCTTTCACATTGAAAAGTAGGAGATGGAAAAGTATTACTTAGTTAGCATAAACATTTTTAAAGAATTGGGTAACCCTGTTCTCCTTTTATGACATTCCATATGATATCTGTTAGTAGAAAGAACCCCGGTTTAATCCTAGTATACATCAAGGAAAACTATGCAGCATTGAGAGTGGATTTGACATTATTGAAAATTGAAAACAAATGGTCACATTCTTTAATTCATTTGGCTTGTCAAAATCGCACTCAGTCTGTGTCCAACAACATGAAAAGATAATACCAATCAAAAGAATACAGTACCCCCCAAAAAAAATAGAGCATGGTCCATTAACTGCACTTACTACTGAAGATTTCAGGTCACAAAGAAGTTCCACAGTTCCTTTAATTTTTGCAGTTTATAAACAGGAAGATTAAAGGAACGTGGTCATACATTTTGGAACTTATAAAAGCAGCCAGCCAATAATAAGTATGAAAAGGTTAGAATAGATACTTACTTTCATCAGGAGACTTCCCGTAGTTATGGTTCAAAGCTTCGATAAAAGACGCAGTTTTCTGGTCTTGCATCACTTCAAGGAACCAATAACAACTTTATTCATTGAACTTAATAATCAATAAAATCACAATAACTCGATTTTAATACAGAAAAAAATATGAACTGACATTGATCAAATAATGCATATCTGTAATTTGGGGCTGAGCCAACCAATAACAACTGGACTGCCTCTGCATCTCTTGTCATCGATATTGCTGCAGATGCTTTTAGATTCTGTGTGTCTAGCAGAATACCAGCAAGCTACAAAATAAAAATACAAGCAATGAACAACAGCAAAGTCACATAAAATTAAACCAGTCTTAATAATTTTCAGAAGCATCTTTTGATATGGGGGAACAATGAAGTAAATTAATGGTTCCACATTTGACTAGCAACAAAGATCACTATAAATTTACCAATAGTTTCTTCAGCACAGGATTTTGAAGTAAATCATAGGCATCCTCACAGTAATTATCTGTAACAACTGTGCATTGGGATCCAACCTTGAAAATCAAAATAACAGATAAAATTAATTCTAAATTCATCTGGGCACAGTGCCTTGGGATCAAACTTGTTTTTAAAATTAATTCAGAGTCATCAATAATTGATAATCCAACCTCGCCAGTTGTGCTCAAGACATCCTGTCCAACCACGAGGACGCTCAGTTGGCCAGTCATCAGAAGGCTTTCCATGTCCATCTGAAAGCAAATTCAGTGCCAGTTAGCAAACTAAGCAAAACAGATCAAGCTCGAGGCTGCTAATCATGCACTAATCATGCGTACAATGTTCTCCAAAGTTCAAACATCTTTATCATTAACAGAGAGATAATTTCAGTGATGTCTAATCCAAATAACTATCAAATAAACAAAAAGGATACCTGCGTATGGAGGCATATAAATTGTATATGCATCTAAAAAATACAAGCTAACTATGGAACATGCACTATTTCATCACACATTGTCAAAGTTTCTCTATGCAAACACAACTTTTATATTTTCATATCATTTGAAGTTTTAGCCTATTTAAGAAAAACTATAAATTTTAATCTTTAAACATTTCTTCAACAGTTTATCTCCCCTGGAAAGTTTTCTATGATATTAGCAAGATAGACCACAAAACTTAGGCCTACGTGGGACTAAAACTTACAACTTTTTCATGAGAGAGCTAAAATTTAAAATGAGGATACGGATAAGGGAATAATCATTATTTTTATGCATATTCATTCTATTCCACATTATAAGTCGAATAACCTTTTTTCATGCAAAAACTTGCAAACGCAAAGCCAGGTAAAATATGAATCAATTTTGAACATTGAAAAGAGGCACCTCATCAGTGAAAAACAACGAAGTGGCATCAAGACCAGCATGGTGAAAGAGCCACGCAGCTTGCTTCAGCTTCCACATGGAGCTTCGCTTCATGTTCATGACAGGCACCACCGCAACGCCACCTTCCTTCTCTCTCTGCCGGTAACCCAAGAGCCACGCGTGACAAATGGCAGCTACCATCGACGCCGTGCCTGCACCGCCACAACACAAAGTCAATCACTCTCCAAAACTCCCACATCACGAAAAAAATATAAATAAAAATAAAAACTCATCTTCACCGACCGTTGGAAGGTCCCGAAAGCACGATTTGCGCATTCGCATGCGACTCTCTGCTGGTGATTTTCTGCAGTAAAGTCCTCTGCTCTTTGAGGAACCCGTTAAGGCACGGTTCCTCTCCCTTCGCAACAACAAGCCTCGGCGCGATCCTCTCCCTCGAGCATGTCGAAGACGATATGGTTCTCCGGTGAGCGGACTCCACGAGGGTCCTGGGCGGCGAAAGAGGAACGGAATCCAAGGGAGGATTCTCCGGCGCAGAAGTCTTGAAGGTTCGTCTGGAGTTGGGAAGTTGGATCCCCTGCAGGTGAGGCGCAGCAGAGGGCTCGGTTTGGAAGCGTGACTTTCGAGGATGAGGCTGACGTGGAGGGAGAGAAGATAAAAGGGTAGAATCGGGAGGAGAAGAAGGTGGGTGTTGTGTGTTATTGTTATTGGTGGGTTTGAGGATGTTGGAGAACCAGTTGTGGAGCGCCGTTGCAGGGGATCCGTTCCCATCTGATGAAGGTTGAGTGAAAGTGTCGGATTTGTTACGAGTGTGTTTCGCTGTTTTCGACAGTATCTCGTCACTGATCCCTTCCCCTGCTCTGTATCTGCTTCATTCACATTTTCATCATCATCGTTATTATCATTATTATTTCAGTGTAATATTATTCTTCAATGAAGCATTTATAACTAAGTCTTATACTAATTTTGCTTGCATATTATGATTACCTTCGTGCAGACCTAGTTCTAGAGAGAGAGTCCCTATGGTCGGATGAGGAGATAGGCGAGGGTGGTTGTGGTGCTGCGAACCTGGGGGACCCTAAATGACGAGCCGGAGAGCTACTGCGTGAAGGAGAGGAACCCATGATTCGTCGTGCCTCTTGTAGCCACTCTTGCGTCAACCTTGCACTGTTGCTTCTGGTGCTGTCGTCGAACCCTTCGTCCTCGTCGTCCTCATAGTCCACGCTCACACCTGTACCACCTGTTAGGTCGTAGGTTTTGTGGTCCACATGATCCACTGTCCCGAAAAACATGTCGTTCATGAAGTCGGTAAGGTCCGGCGCCGGCTTTTCCCTACGCCGTGTCTCCGCCATCTTCTTTTGTAGGCTTAGAGACCCTTTGCTTTCTCTGCCCCACCTTCGATCCATTAATTCTGAGTCACCCACCCGTACGTGCTACCTTAAGATTAACTTTGAGGAGAGTAAAAAGTTGCTTCTAATTTTCTGGTAAGGTTGGGTTTGGAGTTTTCAGTTTTAAAGATCGATAGAAACATAGTAGACACATAGAAAACATCAGTTTTGACCGTGGATGCAAGAAATGGCCGGCGCTGGGGCTATCTTGTTCTCGGCATGTTTGTCTTAGTATCTATCTAACATGTGTGAAATTAATGCTGAGAATGTTCTTCTATATATTTTATTATATGGATAAAAGATATATAAATGTAGATGAACTCCATTTCAACTTCAACTTCTATTCTGTCCAACCCAAGCTTTAGTCAACTTCCATGGCGTAACTCTGAGATTAGTTGTTAATTATATTGGATGAGTGTAAACGGAATTTGCATGAACAACTAACGTAGTAACAAGCCTAACTTTTAGAACATTAATTAGTTCAGGAAAAGCAAGTGTTAGTTGCTGAAATGGAAGAGATTGTGGTAAAAAAATTTCTTCATGTTCGCTTTTAGGGAGGACAAATTAAGTGAGAGTCCAGCTCCATCACCTCCTTTCTGGTTTCTCCGTCAAATCCTAGCCTTCAACCCTCATCATCGTTAACATATCTTCTTTAGTAGTGTTTGATAAAATTTTCATATTATATCTGCTAATGTCTTTTAGTTTTGAAGACATCTTTTTTACTTTTTTGATGTTAGGACCAATTTTGATTTATTTGCAAGTCATGCCTTTAGAATATATGTATTAAAATCAGTGACCACTCCTCTCCAAGTTTGGCAGTCTAACGACATTTTTCTGAAAATAAGTTCTTTGTTTTGTTGGGCTTTCTACTTTTGGTCCATAACAAAGAGGTTATTTGGGCTCAAAAGAATTTGCTTACGCACATCATGCACCCCGTATTTTCTTCCAATACCCCGTATTTATTTAAAAAGATGATAACATTTTTATTAATTTTATGGAAAAGTGCGATTCTTGAGTATTTCGGATTAAAAATGTAAATATAAAAATGATAGAAATACATAATTTTTTACGTATGATAGAAATATATAATTTTTTTACATAGAATGATTTTAGATTCAACTTTCTAAAAATATTTTAGAAATGTTTCATAATCATTTTGTTATAATACTTCTAAAACGCTTTTGAAAAGTTTTTTGGAAAGATTAATTAATAATATTTTAAAAAGCTTATTCTAAAATTTTTTCAGAAAAATAAATATAGAAAAACCTATTTACATGAACGAAAATATTATATAAAAAATATATATGTTAATTATAATGTAACAATATATTAGTTTATCACTCAAAAACAAGAAAATAGAAAACAAATTATTACAAATAAACAAGAAAATAGAAAACAAAAAAAAACAACTCAAAGATAAAAATGTTTGTGATCTATGTAATACTACAATAATTCTTATTAGATGATAAATAATATATTTATATACAAGATAATGATGTAACTATCAATATCAGAAGAAAAAACAGAAACATTTAACATAGATAAATTTGGTTTGACTAACTAACAACACTCCTCAAACCAAAAGAGATACATCAATAATATCAATTTGCTCTCTAAGACTTTTGAATCTTACAAACTTCAAAACTTTTGTCAAAAATATCAAAGTTGTATCTCAGATCTACAATGCTCAATCTCCAATTTTCCATTTAAAATTTGTTCACAGATGAAGTGAAATTTGGTGTCAATGTGTTTTTATCAACAAGTTTCCTTCTCAGCTGCTCAAGCACATGCTTATAACACACTGAACCAAATATCTTAAGATGTGTTACATTAGGTTTGACACTTGTCCAAGCCTTTTCAGATGTAATCATCTCCAAACGTTTGTGCATTTGTGATAACTGTTTCTCTCCAAAAAATAACTTGGTAAAGACTTGCTTTTCAACATACAACAGATCATATTCAGCAAAATTTAGTTTTTACGCTTAGCAATATTGTTATGTTGAGGATTGTATGGTGAAGTAAATTCATGGATGATGTCTTCTTTCTCACAAAAGACACTGAATTCAGCTGAGACATATTCACCTCCACTATCAGACTGTAACACCTTTATCTTGCTTCCATCCTGCCTTTCAACTATTCTTTTAAACTTTTCAAACACAGATAACATTTCATTTTTTCTTCTCAACAAATAAACTCATATTTTCTTTGTGAGATCATCTACAAAAGTAACAATATACTTATTTCCACCAGGTGTTTCAACCTACAAACACCATACCAAGTTTCTTAGTTGCTTTGTCAGCCACAAATTTTTTAAACTTTGGTTTGGTATGCTTGCATTGAAAACATTCTTTATAAATTTCCTCTGAAATCACAATTGAGGAGAGTTTCATAACAAAATTCTTATGACTAAGCTTGTGCAAATGTTACAAATTCAGATGGTCGAACCTATTATGTTATAACCACTCACTCCTATTATCGGCAGTAACAAAACATTCATGTCTTCGTGTATTCATACCAACATGGAAGGTTTTGTTTTCATGAAGATTTGCATGAACCACCAATTTATGGTTTTTGTCATATATACTCAAACCATTCTCCTTCATTTCCATGACAAATCCTTTATGCAAAAATTATTTGAGACTCATCAAGTTTATCTTCAAACTTGTTACATATAGCACATCATCAATGATGATTTTCCTACTATTATGATCCTTCAACATTACATGTCCAACCCCTTTTGTATTCAGACTATTGTTGTCAGCAAATCTAATTTTTCCTTGACGCATCATTAATGTTAATGAAATCAATCTCCCCTCCCAATCATATGCATGGAACACCCCACAACAAGTTACTAAGAATATGTTTCTTCTGAATTTATATAACTGGTTTTGGTCATCAACATCACCACATCATAATTTGAAGAAGCATCATCTTGAGCTAAATTAGCTTGATTTTTTGGATTGTTCTTGACACTTTTATCATCTCAGCATTCATGTGCAAAGTGGTCATGCTTCTAGTAATTGTAACAATACTTTCGTCTTGTCAAACTTCTATTTTTTTATCATTATTAGAGGTATTCTACTATTTCTTGTGATCTTTCTTATTCTTAAAAGTATCACCTGTATTCTCCTTTATTTTTTTAAGTTTTCTTTTCTTTTGAGATGTTGTCTTTTTTCCTTTAGACTGTTCTAACTTGAAGAGTTTACTCTTGATTATGCCTCCTCTTGTTAATCATACACTAATACTTAAGAGAATGCTGCAAAGCTTCTACCTCCATCTTCTCCAAGTCTTTTGTTTTTTCAATTGTTACTATAAATGTTGGGAATATTACTTTATTATCTTTTATTTAAATTAGGTATTAAGAGATTTTATTATCTTTTAAGAGAGAAGGTACAAAGATATTAGGTTATTATTTTGATTTAGACAGTTATGATTGAGATATTATTGATATTTGATATTTTGTGATATTTTTACTCTATATATACATAAAGTACATAAATAAAAAATATACCCCACGTTATGTATCAGAAATACACATATACAAAACCCTAAAATTACCAACAGTGGCATCAGAGCTTTGGTTTGATACAATGGAATGACAAACAATTTTTGATGGCGAAAGTTATGACTTAAGGGCTGTGAGAATGCAATCATATCTTGAAGGATTGGATGTATGGGAAGCTGTAGAAGAAGATTATATTATTGATCCACTACCTGAAAATCCCACCATAGTTGAAATGAAATTTCACAGAAAAAGAAAAACAAGGAAGGCAAAAGCTAAATCATGTCTGTTTGCTGGTGTTTCACAAATGATCTTCACAAGAATCATGACGCTAAAGTCACCGAAAGAAATTTGGGATTATATGAAATATCAATATGAAGGGGATGAGAAAATTCAAGGTATGAAAGTTCTAAACTTGATAAGGGAATTTGAGATACAAAAGATGCAAGAGTCTCAAATAATTAATGAATACTCAAACAAATTGTTGGGTATTGCTAACAAAATAAATTTGTTATGCAAGAAATTTTCTGATTACAAAATAGTTGAAAAAATTCTGGTAATTGTGCCAGAGAGATATGAAACATCTATTGCTTCATTTGAAAACACAAAAGATTTGTTCAATATTACTTTGACAGAAGTACTACATACTCTACAAGCGTAAGAACAACGAAGATTGATGAGAGGAGATCATGTTGCTGATGAAGGTTCTTTACTATATCATAATGGAGGTTCTCTCCAAATCAAGAACAACAAAGGTACAAAATCACAAGTTTTTTCTGTCTGTCCTTATTGCAAGAAAAATAATCACACAAGCAGTGGTGGATCTTGACCATTGATCTTGGAGGGTTAAATAATATATTATTAATAAATAATAAATAAATATAAAATGAAGTAAGAAGATCAAAGGGTGAAAGGATAAAATTGTAAATATATACTTAAATATATTAAATGATCATTAAGTTTGAGGGGGACAAAATCATAAATTATATGAGAGTTACAAAACTGAGGAGGGGCTGGGAGGATAAAATTGTAAATATCCAAGTAAATACATTAAATGTTCATTAAGTTTGAGGAACCAAAATCATAAATTACTTCAATGTAACAATACACTGGTTTATCGCACCGAAACAAGAAAATAAAGAACAGAATAAAATAATCAAAAGATAGTAATGTTTGTAATATGTATAATGGCTCATTAATTCTTATTGAATGACAAAAAATATATTTATATATAAGACAATGATATAGCATAAAAAAATATAAATATATAATATAGACAAATTTAGTTTGATTTTTTTTTGTTTCTTAAACCCACTTGCACACTTAAAGCGCACATTCTCCCTGAGTTTTTGTTTCAATTTGTGAGACTCACAAGGTTTTAGGCCTTAAATACTTGTAGACCTAATGGACCAGAAAAAAATAGCATCAACACACGCGCAACAAAAGTCAACATCGACTATAATTTGGGCCTTGTTACTCTCACACATCTTTTTATTAGGTTCAACCCAATCTTTTGAAAAATAGTTCAACAACCGTATCTTTTAAGTAAATAAGTTTTAGTTTTATTGAGATACATGATAAAAACGTATTAGCATTGCATATAGTGAAGACACACCTCTTAATAACACAATAAAAATGTGTTTTCGTTTTGGATAAAAAAAATATACATTATAAATATAAAATGAAAATATATTTTTTGTTTATCTATCTTGATGAAGAAAAGTTATTGATTAGTTTTTTTATCTTTAATATTATTTTTTTAATTGAATAATTTAAAATAATAATTCATCTTAATAATTAAATTATAAGAAAATAAAAATCAAATCTCCTACTCTTGTTCTTAGAATAAATAAATATTATATATAATAGGTTTTCATTCACCTTTAGATAAAAAAATATAAAAGTTAAGTTTTTCTCTCCTAAAAATATTTATAGATAAACTTGTTCAATGTCACCCTTAAATGTTACCTCTTGCCATTTTTCACATTCTGAGAGAAGCAGAATCCAAAGTATGATATTATATAGTACATAATAGGAAAGGGCAAAAGGAGGCCATGGAGGCTACAAGTTGCGTACAATACTAACACCATTTTCGCATACTATTGTCAACCTTCTCAAATTTATGTAAACACAGTTCTATTCTTTTAGCATATTTTTTTCAATCTATTTATATCATATTTTGATTTATCTTGTACTTTTCTATTTTTTTTCTTTATTGTAGAAATAATTATACAAGTTGTTGGCTTTGGTATTGTTTTGGACAACGTGGCTTTTCCGTAAGTGTGTATAGATCTTGATTTGCTTACGTTAAATCCGCACTTCTTCTTTGCTTGCCCCTTCTTCCACATAAGGGGACAGGCACAAATATTAAACATTATTCTCTTCGCAAACCAGTTGGAGTGTCATAAAAGGTTTATACAAGGTTGTTTTTATTAAAATATTAATCGATTACTATAAGATATAGTCCTAGGTCATGGAGACGTAAGAATAAAAATTAGAATCACAATTATTTTTGTGATATGTAAGAGCAGTTAGAAACTAGAATAACGGAAAACTGTGTTCACAGATCAATTTTCAACAGGAAACAGTGTGATATATCAGATAATGTTGCAACTGATACAATGGAGGTAATATCTTTCGCTTTTATAAAAAGTTGGAACTGAAACATGTTGGGAAGTTGGGGCAAACCTGTAATACACAGTATATTCCTATTTTTCATAGGTAATGGATTACATTATTACTTGCGTGTGTCCATCATAAACTCCAAGCACTTGGGTTGAGGAAGAAAATAGAAAACAGAAATGACAATGTCAACCAATAAAAATTATACTAAATTTTGCAAAGGACCAAATACACTCGTGTAAACCAACTGCATCAGTAAAATTATCACCCCATGGTGTTGCATCTCAATGTCCTTTAAAACTGTTCAAAGGATATCTTTTATTTATTTATGAAAATTCAAATGATATCACTACCACTTGCTTGCTTCCGCTATTATTTTTATGCTATAGTTTGGGCATTTGGGCCTTTGACTTTTCGTGGTTTATTTCTCAAAATTCAATTTGTTTTGATTTCCCATTATTTCATGAAATTGGGCTTTATATAAACGCTTTGAAGTCAGATTCTAAGAATATCTATCACTCCAATTCTTAGCTGTTCTCTCAAGTTTCAACTCTTCACCCTGCTTTGACTATCTATCCGAACACATTGTTGGAGTTATTGAAACTGAGAAAAAATGGCAGCACAGGGGCTTGTGGTAGCATCACTTCTAATTTTCTGTTTAGCTGGAAGTTGCTATGGGAAGGTTCAGTTTTCTTCCCTGAAAAGAACTCTTGATGTCACGGCTTCCCCCAAACAGGGACAAGGTAAGCAAAAGCATCCCGTCTCAGATACCCCCTTCATTAAACTAATCAAATTCTACTGTCACCAGTTTTCTGCGAATGTATAACAAGATTTTGCACCTTGTAATTTCTTAATCGAATTAAAAGACACAACGCAAGGATGAATCAATTAATTGGACCATGTTCAGTTCTGTTTAACTGAAGGCAGTTATAATTTTAGGTTGTTCTAATCAATTGCAGGTAATTAGACATTGATCGATACATGTTAATCAAGAAAAAAACTGCAAAAATTGTTAAATTTCACTCCTTTATGGATTTTATGAATTGGGTTGTTAAATTCACTCTACTCTATATGATGGTGTTAATGATTACGCAGTTCTGGAGGCTGGAGTAGACAAAATCGCTGTGACATGGGCTCTGAACAAGACCTTACCATCTGGGACAGACTCTGCCTACAAAACCATAAAGCTGAAGCTGTGCTACGCGCCCATTAGCCAAAAGGACCGCGCGTGGAGAAAGACCGAGGACGACCTCTCCAGGGACAAGACATGCCAGCACGATATCGTGGCCAAACCCTACGACGCTTCCAACCACACCGTGCAGAGGTTCGAGTGGCCGATCGAGCGCGACGTGCCCAAAGCCACGTACTTCGTACGCGCCTACGCATTTGACTTCAACAACGAGGAAGTGGCTTACGGGCAGACCACGGACACGAAGAAGAGCAGCAACTTGTTTGACATCAACTCAATCAGCGGGCGCCACATGTCCCTTGATATCTGCTCAATTTGCTTCAGTGCTTTCTCCGTGGTCGCCCTCTTTGTGTTCTTCTATATTGAGAAGCAAAAGACAAAGGCTTCTTCCTCAAAGTGATTGAGTTTCACCACACGAGAATTCATAAACATGGCAGGTTTACATATTTCATGGTCATTAATAAATCATGAGGGACCTATTTCCCCTCCCAATAGTAGGTTGGTTATCTTTATACAACTAAATTCCACGTCAATCTGGAGCACGATCTCCCCCTAAGCTTGTAATATGAGAGAAGAGGGCTTGATAATTTTATGTATGTGAGTAGAATATGATCATGAGTAGCATGCTATGAAAGTAAAAAATAATAGAAGTGTAAAATTACTTAGTCCAGGAGCTAGTTTTTACTTTTTGTAAATTTGCAATGAACCCAGTCATCTGATGTGAAGTAAATAGTTTGAGAAGTTAAGAAGAAAGGAGTCAAATTTGCAGTTTCATTGTACAAAAGTACTAAAATGATATAACTATTACAATAAATTAGTCAAGGGCATATTCACTTGAGTTAACCACAGAAAATGAGTTTATCCAGAAAAGCATCCTAATAGTTCTACAAAACCAATAAAATTTTTTACAAGTAAATCATTGCGGAGGAAACCTCCAGCGTTTGTTAATGCTTTTTGAATCTGTCTCTTCCGGAAGCAAGGGAAACGCTCAAGTAGAAAGTGGTTGATTCATGAACTTGCAATGAGGCTACCTACCTCAACTAAGTAATTCCAACTTTCATTGCTTAGAAAGTTAAATCCACGTGGGTTTGACTTCTCTATTATCAATAAATGAATAGGTGTTTCACAAACATCAACACATGTTGCATCACAAATCTGCTGAAGAACGAAAATACATGTCTGTACTCTGCATTCTGTCTGTACCATAAAGTGATATCCTATCGTCAAAAACTTCGGCATATCCAAACGCATCTGTGCCTGCAGGACATTCCAGGGCAGCTTCAAGAACTCTATGGTGAATTCCATGGGAATCAATGGAGTATCCTCCTTTGTGATCATGTCCAGAGAGACACAGCTTCACACAAGTGTATCTGTGTATCAAATTCATTACTTCATCATAATTCCATAACAGTGCCTCATTGGATGATGCAACAGGATCTAGAGGCAGATGGCAACATATCACTACCTTCTGTTTCAATTTTGTTGCTTCCTGAAGAACACTACTCAACCATTCCATTTGTTCCTTTCCAACCGCTCCATTGAACATAAGAAACCTTCTCTCAAGGCCCACCAAACCTGTTGGACTGTTCTTGTCATCATTTGGATTCTTTTCCCGGAGGAATTTCAAGGCCTCCAATGTTTTTGGATGATCTTGAGGCCAGCCAATTGCACTAATGTCATAGCCATCAAGAACTACAAATCTATATTCAGGCACTGGTGAAAAGTCATAGTAAGCATGACTTTCAAAACTCTGGATGTTCAATAATGGAAGTAACTTACGTCGAGGCAGATTGTAAAGGCAGTGATTGCCAATCAAATGATACACTGGTCCATTGAACATTTCAAATTCATCCACTATTTTCTTTACAGTACTAAGAGATTGATCTTTTGGACAGTATCCATCAACAATATCTCCAAAATTTATCACAAACTTGTGGCTCTTCTTGGTATTCCATTCCTTTACTGCTCTCTGCAACACAAGAATGCTGTGCCTATAGTACCGTGGAACACCAAGGAATGACCTACCATCAGGAATGTCAGCATACTGCACGTCAGATATCAATCCAAAAGAAAAGAGAGGCTGTTTCCCTTCTGTGGCAATTAGTCCGTTAGCAGAACCCATTCTGTATGTCTCTACTCTCCACAAGCTCCTATTGGAGATAAAGCATAACTAATGTCATCAAAATAGGGTTTTCGATGCACAGTCCATGATAAAATAATGTGTATGCATAATCTCAAATAGAAACTTCATTTCGTATACAGTTTTAAGTTTCAAATGTTCTTTGTAGTAGCTGTTATTCAGTATCAGAAAATTTGGAATGATGAAATGAAAGTGTAGAAAGAAAACACAATCAATCATAAATGTTGATTTGCTAACATGACCTGTATTAAAAGAGTCTGGCATTTTCTAACGGGAAAGAACATGATTCCTTAACTCAATATTTTCACACTAGAAATTTTAAATCCACCTATTACCTTTCTCTTTTTCTATTCCATCCTATTATTTATCACACTCTCTCCCTGTTTTCTCACAAGGTGTATACAGTCTAAGGAGGCTGAAAAATCATTTTTCATCATTCCCTCTACACAATTCCACCCGTTCGAGACAAGAGAAAATGCAATTTAAAATTCAGGCATAACAAGTGCAAATGCACCGTCAATAATCTGGCAACAAGTTTCAGAACCACAGAAAAAAAGGAAGAGAAATGGTCTAAAACAGATCATAGTGTAGAAACTGAAAAAAGAAAAAACGAAATGCGGTAATTGTTCTAACCCGGTACACACTCAGTTTGTTTGATCTCACATTACAGATTCCATATAGTCACCTAAATAATTGTACGCATATGAATAGAACAAGAAATATAACAGAACAATGGCCAATATTGAATGGAGCCCCAAAATATATAACGATACGTGAAGAAGATCAGAAATATAGATTGCAAGAATAAAAATGTAAATGAAAAGCGAAATAATTGGTTTGATAATGAAGAGAATAGAGAGGTCGTACTTGTGATAGGAATGAGAAAAAGTGAAACAGCGGTATTATGTGAGAAAGAGAGGTAGTATAGCATGTGGAGGTTGGAGAGATTCGATTGCGTTAAGGTTTGTTTGGAAGTGGAAAATGAAGGAAGATCGCAAGTCCTAACTCTCTGGGGGTGTGAAAACAGAGACAGAGTCATTGGCACGTTAATGCAATGCAATATAGTTGTCGTTAAGGGCTAAAATTGTCCTTTCCAATTGTCAGAAACACGGGACTGCCACCAGTTCACGCCACCTGTCCTCCTAAAATCCCTTGACATCGCATCTCCCCCAAAATCCTTCTCTTTTAAGCCATCTACCCAAAGTATAAAATATAATATTACCATAATTAATAGTATTTATTGTATTAATCTCGTTTATTTAGTTTCTAATTTTAGTTACTTAAAGGTACTATGACGTTTTTATTAGGATATTTAGTTTAGTTTTTGTTTAATTTTGATTATCATTTAATAAGTTTATCATATTTATGAATAAAATTCATTTTTTACATATTCTCCTTTTATTTATAAAATTATTATTACTTCAACATATTTTAGGTAATAAAGAAATGTAATATTTCAAAAGTAACCGTAGCTTAGACTCAACAAATTTGCAGTGACTTTAGGCTCGAAATTTTTGAATGGGATGGTAATTGTTAAGAGTAAATGCTTAACGAATAAAAATATCTAAAATATATTTGCTAAAATCATTTTAAAGAGAATTGTTAATAAGAATTATTTAAAAATAAAAATAAAAATAATATTTTATTATAAATTTTATATCTAAATTATATAAAAGTATAAAATTTATAATAAAATATTATTTTTATTTTTAAATAATTCTTATTAACAATTTTCTTTAAAGTGATTTTAGCTTATAATAAAATATTATTTTTATATTTAAGCATCTCTTATTATAAACTTCATTAGAGATGAGTTTTTTTTTTCATATTCATATATTTTATATCTCTCAGCGTTGGATGATATTGCATTTCTTTTTAAAATTACGAAAAAAACTAGACAATTTCACTTCTAATTAAAAAAATATTTTATTAATTATTTAATAATAATATTTTTATTATCGTAATCATACTTATTTATATAATTAATACAATTATTATTATTTTTTTATTATTAAAAAATTTAATACATTATTATTATTATTATTATTATTATTAACATTGTCACTGATTTATTATAATTTGCTAAATTTCACTTAACCTAATTTAAATAGGTTACAAACACTTCAAATTTATTTACCATAACATTTAAAATTAGAAAAAGGAGTTTTTAAAATTAAAAATCACTCTATATTAAAAACTAATTTTAAAAAATTAAAATTGATTGTAGTTGTTAATTTTTTTAAATATAACTAGAAACTATGTTGAATGAACATTTCTAGTTTTTAGATTCTAAATTTGTTTTGGATATAACAAGGTATAATATAACATGAGTCATAATTTATATATAACTAATTATTTCTTATTTATATTGATTTAGTTTTTTTATTACTTTTTCTGTTTCTAAATAATTATTGAATTTAAAAAATTAAAAATATATGTAATTATAATTATATTAATTAATTTTTCACCGATTATAATTTTTATATTTTTGAAAGAAAATAACAAAATTATTATAAAGATCCATAAAAATATATGGGTTTCTCAATAAGCAAAATTGTTGAGTGAAACGGCTTTGACCAAAGAGGGTAAGACGTGGCAGCGTGCAACAAAGAGTGTACTGTCAAAAGACAGACACGTGGGTTGGGACGTGCTGCCAGCTTTCAAGTTCCCAGATGGCCATTATTATATTTAATCTTTAATGTAACCTTAATATATTCTTATGCTTTTTAAATTCTTTATTTTTAATTGCTTTATGAGCATTTTAGTATTATTCCTATAAGAAATATATTAGAGTTTTTATTTCATTTTTAAATAAAATTTGATAATTTATATTAACTTTTTACAAGTTTTGTTTAGTATATAATTTTTATAACTACTCATAATTTTTTTTATTTTAAAAAGTTATAGGATAAAGTTAAACTAATTTTATTGAAATCAAAATATATTTAAACAAATATTATATATTATTATTATTTCGTAAATAAAATAAAAATATTAGTGTTTTTTATCAGCTTAAAATTGATAAAAAAATATTATTAAATTTGTTTTATTTTAATAAATATGATTTTAAGAGATTGATTACTAAAATACTTAAGAATATTTAAGAAAAAATAAATTTTAGACAATACTTTTTTTATTTGTTTTCACTTTTTCTTATTAAGCTACTTGTTCATAGAAATAATATTATTAATATTTTAACAACTCTTATAAATCAATTATAATATATTTATTCTTGTAAGATATACGAGATTTTCGAATGCAAAATATGGATATGATATTTGTTCTCAGCCGGTTTTGTGGTGATGAAATCGATTGATTGAGTTTTAAACAAGGCAATTTTTAAATAAAAGAATATCGTATTTTTGAAATGAGTTTTACTCCGAACTAAGATTCTTGTACGAAGAAAATAATAACAACTTAATATAATAATATTTTAATGATAATAATATACTGAAATTTAATAATTGATAATCCATTAATTTTGAATAAAAAAATATTTTTAATAGACTTTAGTTAGAGACCTATCAATATTTAAAACTATTTATATGAGATGTTAAAACACAATAATTATGTGAACTATATTAGAAAAATTATTATAATATATATATATATATATATATATATATATATATATATATATATATATAAAATCTATCATTATTTAAAACCATTAGATATTAAAATAATAAAATTTTAAATTAGAGAAATAAAAATGATAAAATAATTTTTTTTAATTATTTACATATTTAATATAAAGCTATTTAAAAAAAATGTTTCTCAATTATTAAGATATTTTTGAAATATTGTATAATTTATTCATAACTTAAAAAAAAGTTTATAAATTTTTATTTTATACCTAAGTCCACTGATTAAAAATGTTAATGTTAGTTAAATTTATTTAATATTATTAAATTCATAAAATAATAAAAATTATAATTTCTAAATTTGAAAATCATAATTATAAAAAACAGTGTGCATATTTAAATATCAGAATATTTTTGAAATAATAAGATTGACATAACGATAAATTGTGTTTTTTTTTTCAGGTAGTTTTGTTGGTTGTGGATAACTGGTCACTTTCTACAAAATTGCAGTACAAATTAGCTCTCAAACTAATTAATTTCATCTTTATATTAAAATGGTGCATTACCCATACCATATTACTTCTCATTCCCAGAATTGGAGTCACTTTCCAACCCCTGGAAAACGGTGCATTCACTTTCCTATTTTCTTCATTGTCGACTACCAACACTACCATCTTCCAATCATTGTCACCATTGACATCCTCTTAACCCTCTTTTTAAGATAACCAATGACTAATCTTAGTTGCAAGATAGTGGAACCACCATTCCAGAAAACCCTTATAGTCAAACACTAGTGGGACGCAATTTCTTCCCCATCTGGGCCTGCTAAAGGGAATAAAGCAAACCCACTAGCGTCCTTGAATACAACACCGTTCACTTTTGCATATTAACAAGGCTAGCAAAATGGGGGCACAATATTTTTTTCCTACACACGACCTAACAAATTGCAAAATCTCAGTGTCCAACCACAACACTTTGATTTTCAACACAGCATGAGCTACTTCCTCACCCTCTACCAACACCATGTGAGCAATTGAGGAATCGATTACAAAACTGACTTGGAGAAATGAGAAAGCTGGAATTATTATACATGTGGCGGAATGTGATGGTGAAGATGATTACAGTCATAGTGATAAAAAAATACAAGGTCACACGGTTGTCAACAGTAAAGAAGAAGAAAAGGAAAAGGAATAAAAACATCACTTCTAAAAATCACCTTTACCTCTAATGGTGCCACGATGATCACAACGAAGAATGACCAAAAGAAGCTTAGATTTGGAGGAGAGAGAAAATGGTGTGAAGGATGCATTGTAACGAGTGAATGAGATTAATTTAGAAACAAAATAGCGGTTCACGATAGACACATACCATGCTAATCCATCCTATCAAAACTTCAAATGAATATCTAAATGAGTATTTTGTGCTACACTACCTTTTTCTCTTACGAGAGAACAATTAACCAACTTGAAAAAGTAAAAAAAAAAAAAAAATAGTAATCAGAGGGAAGGATAAGAACTTTGGCATCAAGACAACCTTCGCCGACGAATTTATTGTTTTTATTCCTTAAAGTGAAGGTTGAAAATCATTTCTGGCTCAAACATCAAAAGTCTTAAATCTGGAAAAGCTGTATATACACATTTTTTTAATGAATAAAAGAGGAAAAAAGAGAAGATACAATTTCATTCATTTATTGATAATGATATGAAACTATATCAAGTAATCTTTATCTAAATAAATAAATAATAGAAGTACCCTTTGCAAGGGAATCTACCAACAACAAAATCTGGTTGGTTGTATTAATGATATAGAAGCAAAGACCATGCACGGACCTAGCTTTTGCAACTTGGAACTGCTCACAAGATAACAGCACGAATTTCAGTCTTCATATCACATTATTATTTCTCAAGTCTATCAAATTGACTGTCTTCTTTTTTGGCGATGAAGAATCTGGTCAACGAGCATCTCTGGAAGCAATTTAGTAGCCTGTGCAAGTATCAATACGTGAATTGAAAGCACAGAGTACGTATGTCACTCCACAATATAGGAAATATACCAAGAAGCTAACCTGGAAGTTCCTCATGTGCAAAATAGGTTCACATCCAACATCTGCCACTGATTTGCCATTTGGTGTTTGCAACTTAAATCGCTCTGCCTTGTATGCAGAGAGGATATTTTCTTCATCAGGTAGGTGATGGCTAACTTTCAGCAGTGAGCTGAGAGAATTCATCTGAAAGGTTGAAGATACAATCAGATGATAGCTTCCAAGAAAAAAAATTGAAGAAAACTAGTTACAATCTAGATAAATACAATAAGGTAGTAACTATTGACCCACCTCGATGAGAAAAATGATAGAACTGAAGTCTTTCATTACATTTTACCAGTAAACCTATAATGTACTTAATGACCTACCGATTATAGTTATCTTGTCACCCTACGGGAATATCTCAAACTGATTATAAATTGAGCTAACCATAGACAAAACAAATAATAAACTCTACCTTCATGTATGGACAAGATGCACAGCCACCGTGAATGGAACAACCCTCCCCGCTAGCTATTCCTGGTACAACAGGAAGTATAACATCACCCACCTTAACAGAATGAGCATCCGAGGATAAACTTGAGGATGTTTTTGAGATTGAGTCAGACGAAACCGGAAAGACTATTTCAACAGTAACTTTAGCCTTTTCAGGAGAGGACTTCGCAGGCTCCAACAAACTACGAACTGTAGCTACAATTGAAGTCACCATCCCAGATTCTGTTCCTAAGACAAATTGGAGATGATCATTTATATTTCTATCCAAAGCTTCCTGAACCCTATCCTTTATGAAATCCAAAATATTTTGAGTGGAGCCTACTACGCCCATTCCCCTTCTCTTTGCTTCCATTGCCAATGAAAACATCTCTCCAGGAACCTCAAGATGAGCAGTGAGGAACGCATCACAATACATTTCTTTTATATTCTCCACGACTTCATGGCCAAATAGATGGTGAACAATGCATGTTCCATCCTGGCACCAAGTCACAAAAGCATATAATCATGAAATGAAGTACATAACCGATCATTGGTAGTACTAGCCTACCAAAATAAAAGCACATAAACTAGCAAATGATAAGCTACTTCAAACCATATTTTATACATGGAAAAATTCAAACCTTTCAAAAAAATTGCAGAATACAGAGAAAGACCACAATAGTGTAAGTGCAGGCACTGAAAATTTTCTCTCCAAGTCTCACATTGCATAAACCCAACACAGGAAAAATAAAAATACAGGTGAAATTATTTAACAAAGCATAAACCAACTTATGTGAAAGAAATTATGAGAGGGGGAAAGGCACAATAAGAATGAAATATCATACTAAGTATATCATTGCCACGTCGAAAGAAATGTAGAATTATCATCTTCTTGTTTAAAAATATTCTTTACAATCTTACATAAAATAAATTCCTTGTGAGCAATATCAACACTATCTCTAGAATACCAACAACAAGAACAAAATGTTTTCCCTACGCCAGCATCCTCAAAGGATAAACACAACATCTCACTCAAATGGATAGACACAACACGCAAATGGACACACATCTAATTCCAAATGAAGTAGATTATTTCATACCTTTTCAAAAAACGTGCTAAAGATCTTACCTGGAAATAGTGAAGTCGTGGTAATACCGATCTAATAGAGTCTTGACTGTGTTCCGGATGTATTGCAGCAATCTCTTCATCAGTCATCTTCGTCATCTGTTGGAACAATTCTTTAATATTTGCACCCATGTAAGAATCAGGTCCATACCATATGCTCAAATCTGGAACTTGAGCAAATGCCTGCATAAATATGAACTAACATGTTATTTAAAGAAAGGACTAAATGGGCTTGATGATGGTCATCAAGTGATGTATTCATATTGACCATCTCAACGGCAAAGAGGAATATAAAAAGTTTTTATCTGACCAACCTGTAGGATAGTCTGGACAACATTTGATGAAGTACAGGTTATTGTAGGCACAAGCTCATGAGCAAATGCCTTTGTCTCTAACTTAGTGTTAATGTATATGACATGCAAAGAAGTAGACCTAGAAGCCGCTGAAAGATATTCCATATAAGTAGGAGTGGCTGCAGCATCAGCCAGTGAACAGCCAATTTGGTCATTTGACATCCTATACACGCCAACCTGCAAATAATTATCCCAAGAAAAATCATGGACTAAGGATTAACATGTAGCAAAGATACCAAATTTGACTGATATAATTTGCTGCAGCGCCAGAGACCTGCTTAATACAAACCATTCACCAATATTTATATATAGGAAACTTAACTTAATAGAGTCCATCTTCTAGACCACACTTATCATTACATATTTAGCCTGCTGATGGCTATCTTCAAAATGGAGATGACATACTAGAGAAAGGCATACCTCACTAAAACCAGCTTGATCAAGGATGGCACGGACATTTTCTGACATAAAATCCACACCTAACACTGTTATGAATTGGCATCCAGCTTTTGCCATTTTAACTGCTGTATCTGCCATGACAAGTGAATCAGATATATGGATATGTGGCCACTGCTTCTGAGCAGCAGTTAAAATGCCTTGCACCTCAGGATCCATGTAAAAGTGTGCAACGACACCAATTTTCTTCTCTTTCAGCACATTGACTAGTTCATTAACTTTTAATTCATCAGGGAACAAATATTTTGCCTGCACGAAAGCTAGAACAAAATTAGGAGAATAATGCTGTCAGGTCATGATTCCATGAAATTATAGCATTTGTGGTGGCATAACCATCTATTATGACGTGAACTAAACATGCCCTTTCAGAGAAGCACTAGTAGAACGGATAAAGTAAACATGAAAACATACTGTTTTAAATTGAAGTTCATAACGAAGACAAGGAGGAAAAGCCAAAAACTCCCAAAAATTTACTAGGGGCATAAATTGCGTGGACTGTGACTAACAAATTAGTATGTACAGCCTAACAGTTCTTCTTCACCATCCTTTGTAGATATGTCATGGACATTGAGTTTGCAACTTTGAGAAAAAAGAACTCATCAACCAAAAACACCACCAAAGTGTGCAGGAAGTTTTTGGTACATACAGTGGGACTTTCAATAAATACAGAATTTGTATGCACAATAGTGTCGTACAAAGATCTTAAGATGATGGTGTTCTTTAATACTTCTAATTAATAGTAACGATATAACAGTGGAAAGGCATAGCTTAGTCAAACATCTGAGTCACAATACAACATTTTGTCTAGTTGATGGTTGTAAAGCACAGTGCAAGCAATTTTGAGGGAAAGAATGGGAAGAAAGGAAGGAGCAGAAAGATTGGGATAGATAAGGGCGGAAGGAAGAGGGAGAAAGAAGAAAGGAAGAAAAAGAAAGAGTGGTCCCTCGTTTAATTTATTGAGTTACAATGATTAAAATTTGCGTATTGCACTTCATCTTTGTTTTGTTTTTTATGTGACGTTGGAAAAGTATTTTTCAATAGTTAATTCTTTTTAACAAATCAAAGCCACTGAGTCAAATAACACCACGTACCCAACTACGACTGTGCCATCTAATAATGAAGAAAAAAATAAACATAAGAAAACAAAAACAGAATGTCCTCCGTCTACTGAGGAGGATCAGATTCTCGCAATAACATAAGGAAGCGTGGGCACTCATTACTACTTTTTACAATTCTCTAATTTTTGGACTGTGTAAGATTCTGTTAGACTATTACAACTCCAAGCCCCATAAACAACAAATTATGCCAAAAAGAGAGGAAAAAACAAAGAAAGAAAGAAACAAACACACCATTTATGATTGGATGAATTCGAGAGATTCAGAATTAAAACTTTTCAAACGGTGCAAACCTGGGCTTCAGCATAGCTACCCTTAGGAAAAACCCCATCAGAGGTAACAACCAAGGAAGGAAAATGCTCAAAGGGAACCTTCCCTTTTCTCCGAGCCAACAGCTGCTTGGTCCTCTTCTGCATGCTGATCAGCACGTTGTGCCACGTGTTCATCCTCGAACGCCCACTCCCTCCCGGCAACCCCGCATTCAGACCAACCAAATCATCGGTGCTCACTTTCATAACCTCCTCCGGCTCCGAACCATCCAGCACCCACACCAGACACGCGCAGAACCCCCTCGTGATCTCCGAATCACTGTCCGCCGCCACCCGCACCTTCCCCTCCTCGTCGATCCCCACCTCCACCCACACGCGCGCGGTGCACCCCATCACCCGGTTCTCGTCGACCCGACCCGATTCCGCCATCGGCGCCATCGCCGCCGCGTAGCTTAGCAGCCGCTTAACCCGCTCCGCAGGCTCCCGCAGCGACCGGAACTCGGCATAGAGGTGCTCGAGTTTCGACGGAACGGCGAGCTCAGAGGCGGTGAGCGCGGAGCCGGAAATCACAGGGTTAAGTTTGAACGAACTTGAACGGCGTTGGAGGCATTTGAAAGGTTTAAGTAACGGTAGGTGGCGTTTGAGGGGTTGGAGGATGAAGGGTTTTGGGTTGGGTGAGGTTGAAAAGATAGAGGAAGTAAAGACAGTTGTGTTCACAGTGAGAACGACCATGGCTAGTTTGTAATGCGAGGAAAGGGTTGAATTGGAGCGAAAGAGCGAAGGAGCGAAAGGATTAAAATAACAGCAAAAGTGGGAACGATCCAGGAGAAAGTACTAAAAGCGTGGGTGAAGGAGGCGTAGGTCCCCCATTTGTTACATCTTTTTTTTGTCCTAGCATCTTGCCACTGTCATGTGAGCTTAAACGGTGTGATTAGAAATACTAATAATAACAATTTTGTCGAAAAAGTAAAGGTTTTCCAGTAACTATGAAAAGCATGTTGCGAATATTTTCTTATCAGAGTGCCCGAAGACAAATTCTACACACATACATCTTCTCTCTCCCTGTTTCGCGCACTCGCGTATCATGTGAGCCTCTTCGAAAAAGCTTACTCTTACTATAATAATACCTGAAAACTACATAAGAATAAATAAACTATAAACTACTAATTTATGCTCAAATGTTATTCTTTAATTTAAGCCATTTTCAAGTAATCAATTTTAAAATATAAAATATTTATCAATTTAACCATTAAATGGAATTTAGGTACTAAAAATATTTTAATACTTGAGAAATCGTTTAATATATATAACACTACTTAAATTATTTTTTATTTAATGAATAAATAGTAATATAATAAGATAATATTTTTCGTTCGTTTAATCTTTAAGATACATGTAGAAAAAAAAGTAAAAATTATTATTTTCTTTATTTCAAAAATATACGATGTTTATGGTTTGATTATAACTATTAACTTTTTATAATATTTATTATTTTTTCGTCTTATATACTTATTATCTTAATATATATTTTTTTATTTAACAATAATATTTTTAAATAATTTCTTATCTCTTCTCCTTTTATTATAAATATAATTAATAAAAAATAGTTAATATATTCTTAAACTTTATGAATGTAGTATATTTATAAATGAAAATTTTGTACTGACATGTGATATATTTTGATTAGAGGGAGTAGTTGATTATATATAATTTGAATAGTTGGAGTGTTGGAAAGATGTTGGTGGGTAAGTGTAGCAATCGAATTGGTATTTTGTTAAACATGGAGAAGGCAAAACGAAGTTGCAATGTGGTTGTTATTGGAAGCATTTGGTAGCATGATGATGCTTACCTACTTGAGTTTACAATTAAGCCCCTAGATTGATGTTTGAAGGCCATAAAAAGTAGGATAAAGTACTGAATCCGTGCAATTTTACTTAAAATTAACCCATTTCCAAGAACTCCTGCTCTCCCCACTTTGTTCTTTTCCACCGTTTCATTTAGTTTTTTTTTTTACTTTTTAATAACTTTTTACATTATTTTATTATTATTAAATTTATAATAAATAAATAAATAATTTGATAATGATTAACATTAATAATAATACTAATAATTAAGATAATTAATATTTATTATTTCTTATAATTATTTTTATTAATAATATTATTATAATTAACTAATAATAATCATAATAAATGATAAATATTAATTATCTTAATTTATTATTATTATTATTAATACTTTATTATTGATGTTAATTATTATTATTTATTTATTTATTTATTTATAATAACTTTAATAATAATAATAAAATAATATAAAATTATTAAAATGTATAAAAAAGTTAACTACTAAAAAAATATTTAAAAACATAAAAAAAAAACTGAAATTGTGATTTTTTAGCACAGTTTTAGTTTTAGAAAATAAAAAAATAAGAAAGTCGTTGAAAACATTATTTCTTGTAAACCATAAATTACTCATTAAATAAATTTTTAAAAATTTACCAAAATCAATAAATTTAAATATAAAATTGCACTGATTTTATGTTTTTTCTCAAAAACTAATATCATCATAAAAATATATACAGACGGCAGTTATGAAGTTAAAATTGCGTATTTAATCTTATATGGCCAATTGAAGTTAGTTTAAAATTTTGCATCTTTAAGTTTTATTAATAATTTTTCGAGTCATTCTTCAAATTTCAATCTATATATATATATATATATATATATATATATATAATCCCACTTGGATTGTGACTTGACCCATCTAGCCTACACCACCGATTGTGACTTGGCCCACCTGGCCTGCATGCCACGGACAATTGTGCAACCCTGCAACAATCTCCCCTTAACTATTGCTCAACGAGAATCGAACTCGTGACCTTGGCTCGATACCATTTGTTAGGATCGAGTGCTTACCACTAGGCCAAAAGCTATAGCCATTAGTCGAGCGCTAACTCTTTTACTTAAGAGTAATGACCTAAGCGTCACGATTCGATTGTGACTTCAGCCACCGGCCTGCTAGCAGGACAATTGATGCTATGCACATATATATATATATATATATATATATATATATATATTATCTCACTTTTTTTTATATAACTTTTTTCATTTTTTATAAAATCTCATCATTTAATTCAAAATGATAAAAATATCAAAATCGACTTATCAATATATTTTTTTAATTATCGTTTCAATTTAAAATTAAAATAATATATGTTTCCTCTAATAATTAGACTATATTTATTACATAAAAATTGTCCTCACTTCTGGGAATTATGATAACATTGTTAGTTATTGATATCTTTGAAATTATTGTATATTACAAATTTATTTTTAAAAGACATTTTTGTAAATTAAGAGAAGAGAATATATATAAATATATCTTTGTCCTCAACTTCTAATCATAAGTCCCTATCACCTAAGAATGACGTATTTCAGTTTTATGTCTACTATGATAATATCATTAACATCAATTTTATGTTCAAAATATTATTTTTTTGGAACGAACTCTTTTTCATTACATTTTTTGTTCTTCAAAAACGCTTTATATAAATTAAGAAAAGAAGGTGTATATAAATATGTTTTTGTCATTCACTTCTAAATGATACGATACTCAGTATACCGAAACAATATATATTTAAATATAAATCATATTAATAAAATTAATTTTAAATTTAAATATAATGATTTAATAAAATAATCTATTTTTTTAAATATTATTATTTTATAAAATAATTAATCTATGCTTCAAATCAGCTTAAACCCCTTTAAATCACGAACTAAATAGGTAAAATAAAAAAATATATCAAAATTTATATAACAATGTTTTATATTGGCTTTCTGGATTATGGAATTAGAGTATTATTGGTTTTGTAACACAATTGGGCAAAGTAGTGAGAATTAGTTGAGAAGTATGAAACCAAATATGGAGCTGGAAGCAGGAACCAAAATGTACATAGAAGCAATCCCTTAGTGTTGAATAAAATCCTTGGTTCTAATTCTTCAAATTGATCCCATAATCAATTTAAAGAGAAGGAATTCTTGAAATAACAAATAAACATGCAGGAGTTGAATTATGTGTTTTGTATTTTTTGAAAATATCCTCAAAACAACATTTTCTTTCATTTTAAGAATCAATAAATAGTAAGAGATAGATTGTTAAAATGTCCTTGTAGTTTATCATCCTCGTTTTAGATTAGATGATGAATTTGAGGGAGTAAAAATATAATTAAAATTATTTATATTATTAAAATTTAATAAATTATAAATATTAAAATTGATTATTATTCTTAGAACTATTATCAAAATAATTATTTTTATTGCTATAATTATTTTTATTGCTATAATTATTATTTTTATTATATATTAAAATAATTATTAGTATTATTATTAATATAATAATAATTATTAATTATATATTTATTGTTATAAATATTATTATTATTATTTTTAGTAAACTGAATTAAGAAACATTACTTAGAGAACATGCATAAAAATATTTAAAACTAAATTTTCATTCTATTATTAGTTTGATCACCTTTTAACCAGGAGTAGAAACATACCAAAAAATGATATAAAATGCACTCAATGACAAATCAATTGTTTTCTCCACGTGGCGTCACATGCTATGTCTCACTTTCGCAATTCATTCCTCCTACTGCAAAAAAAATGGCCAGAGAAGAGAATGAGATATTTTTCTCGTCTCACTCTTCGTCCTAGAGAGAACCTCTACCCACTTTCTCCCTGGGATCCACTCGTATCATATCAGTTAAAACAAATAATATCCGCACTCGGTGCGCTTACACTGAGAGATTTTCATTGATAAAATATCACGTTCCAAAACTTCACAACGAAATACACATGAGTGTTTGAATAATTCTGATTTTGAGAGATTTACCACAATTTCGCATCTTTGAAAGTTCTGATTACATGAAAATTATAAAATGTAAAGTTCCTATTGTTGAACCAATCTAATTTTCTCAGAAGAAGATGCTACTGTATATATATAAAGATTTAGAGAGCTCATTATTTTACTGTGTTATATGTCTTACTAAATCAATTCATAATGATTGCTCTTATTAATTATATATTATATTTTCGATATATAATATAATACAGTATTTGAATTTTTAATTCTCTTAATAATCAAATATTACAAGCATGGAGATATTTAAGTAAAGAAATAATTTTTATTCGAAGAACTTTACGTGATTGGTAAGTTGTTTCATTATTATTTTTTAATTATTTCACCAACCAACTTACAAAATAAATAAAATATAAAAAAAATTTAAAAATTATTATAAAATTTTTTAATAACGTAAAATTAACAATGAATGGTCTAAAAATAATATATTATCGTAATTATCTATACTGTATGATTTATTTTGTTCGTTAGTGAAGGTTTTACTACCAAGAAAAATATGTTTAATATTGATTATTTTAGATATTTTATATTAATTATACACTTGATAATGAGTTTTTAATGAATTAAAAATCAATATAAAAAATCAACATTAAACGTTGATTGGATAAAGAACTGAGATATTTTTTTAATATTTTATTTTATTCTTCAATTATAATTTTGTTTCGCATAATAACCATAATATAATAGTGGTACTTGATTCCGCTTTAAAAAAATAAAATATAAATATAAATGGTTGTGATCGTATTTAAAGAAAAAAAAACACTCTCATTTTTTACTAAAAAAAATGTGAAAAATAAAAACATATAACAACATAAAAAAATTTATATCAATTACTCAAAGAATAAGTAACTAATATGATAAATATTAAATTACACAGATTACTCATATAATAAATATATATAATATATAGATATATTATATTAGTTTTTTATTAATCTATGTAACATGTGTTTATTTTATTTATAAAAATGTTTATAACGATTCTATCATAATTAATGTAATATGATTGACATTAAATTCATTTTTTTTTATTCCTGTTCTGTAAAAAAATTTACCCAATGAGGCTTTCATTTTATAGACTAATGCAAAAAATTGAAAGTACTTTGAAGAACTTATATTATATCCTTTTCCATGGCGGGATTTATGGATTCCAATTTTTTATTTTATGAGGTATCAGTTACCTGTAATGAAAGCTAGAATAATTATCAACAACAGAAAAAAAAAAAAAAAAAGCTATGATGATGGTTTATAAATTATTTGACCTTTATTTATATATAGTAATAAAATTTCATGTTCTAAGCATCCAAATTCATAGCGAGTTCCTCTTAAAACTGAATATGTGCATATGCATGTTTTTTTGGTGTCCCAAGGTTGTATAAGCTCATTGTTACTGACATTCTTCATTCCTCAGGATTATAATTTTTCAAATAAACTTATATTGTGTTAATTACACCGCTTTATCTCATAACAAAATTCTTACAGAGAAACAATCATTAAAATGGTGTAAAAATAATTGGGGTAGACAAAGAACCTGAGTTCTATTTGATGCTACAGCACACGTGGGGAGCACAAAAGATATTAAAATGTAATTTGGTTTTCACGATTGAATTCAGATATCTGTTCATGAGTTATATTTTTACACATTGACACCACTCTCTTTATATACATTCATGATTTTTTTCATCAAAATGTTACAAATTTAATATTTTATGGATATACATCAAGTTTTTAAAAAATTATATAAAGAAATAAAATTATATTATGTTTCACAATTTCAAAAAATAAAGAAATTGTGTACTATAAAATTCAAATCGTATTATTTTGTATTTTTAACTAAAGTGGTGTTACTACTTTAATTATATTCTTATATAATTAAATTCATATTATTTATTACGATATTAAAGTTTTTTTTAATAATTAAATTATAGAGTTTTTTATTTAATAATTAAATTATTTTTGTTAGATAAATATGTTATTTAAAAATATAATAAATTTTTTATTATTTATTATATATATACATATTTATGTTGTACAATATTATATTAATTATTTGTTTTATTTATATCAATTATTATTTTATATAAATTTTGTATAAATAAAAAAAATTAATATATATTAATAAAAAAACTGAATTTAAATTGTATTATATTATTTATTTTAAAATTAATATATATATACAGATATTTTACAATTAAATTAAGGTTTTAGATCAATATATTATTTAAAAAATTAATAATTTATTTATTTTTTGTTATATAAATATATTTATATGTATATATATTTTAGAAGTTATAAAATATTATATTAATTATTTATTTTATTTATATTAACTATTATTTTATATAAACTTTGTATAAGTAGTATATAATAATAAAAGTAATATATATATATATATATAATGTTATTATAAAACTAAATAATACATATTTTTGACGTTAAATTTTTTATATATAATATTATATTATATATAAAAATTATTATATATATATATATATTGTATTACATAGATAATGATTTTTTAATTATATTAATAATATAAAATTAATTACAATATTATTTCAATGAAAAACTGCAAAAATATATTTAGTATTAATTTAAAAATAAATAACATAACACAATTTAAATTTAAAAATAAATTTATCAAAATAACTTTATTTTTTAAAATTAAAATTTTCTATTTTATTATTTATACAAAATTTATATAAAATAATAATTAATATAAATAAAATAAATAATTAATATAATTTTCTATAACATAAATATATATAATAGAAAATAAATAAGTTATTAATTTTTTAATAATATATTTATCTAAAAAAATTAATATAATTATTAAAAAAAAAACTTAAAATAATACTACTTTAGTTATATAAATTCGTACTATTTTAGTTATATAAAATATAACTAAAATCGAATTAAGATTTTAGTTCTAAAAAGGAATTAAATTAAATTCATTATAAATAACACAATTTTAATTCAATTATTTTAAATGGTGTAAAATATTAGGATTTAATCCCTATATCTGATTCTTTTAAAACTTTCCCCATTCCGTACACTTAACCCATCTTCCTAAAAAAACTTACATTCTTCCAAATTGATTTGCTTTAATAGAAGGACGCTATCCTTGGCCTTTAGCTTGTTTTTGGATTGGGTGATGTAATGTTTATGTAAAAATGGAGGAGTGGATTCAAGGGATTGAGATATTGTTTGCTTACCTTGATTTTAGATGAAATAGAGATAAATGAGAGTAGTAGAGAAAAAATGTTTCATCCAGCAGAGAATGAAGTGTATATAACTGATTCGCCTTCGTATATACGAAAAAAAAGGAGCACTTAATCGAATAAATAAATCTGTATTATCGATTATATAATATACAAACATTAATATTTAATTATGAAAAAAAATATTAGTATATTTATTATATATATATATATATATATGAGTTAATAATAATAATAATATATAATATTATAATTATACGTAACTTTGTATTTTTTATTATAATAAAAATAAAATTATATTTAAATAAAAATTTATATTAAAAATAACTTTCTTAAGTTAAATATTTTTTATTATAAATTTTTAATTATATATATTTTTTAATTTGTACTTACAAATAATTTTTAATTAATAATTTAAATTTTTTATATAAAATTTAAAAAGAAATTATTTTTTATAAAATAATTTCTTTTTATTTTTATTAAATTTTAATTAAAAATATTTTAATATTTTAATAAATTATTTTATTAATATATTAATATTCTTATATTTAATTATATCATAATTATCATTTTTATTTAATTTATTTATTTTAATAATAAAAATAATTTGATCATTAAGTTAAACAAATATTATTTAATTTTTTTATATTAAGTGACATTAATTATATTAATTTCAATAAATTTACTCAAATTTTTTAAATTATCTTAGTTAAAACACAAATTTTTAAACATAGAAAAAGATGGGACACCTTTTTAAGGTTGAAGCATTGAATGTAAGTCCTAGGAATTTATTTTAAATTAAGGATTTTATATAAATATAAATTTAAAGGAATACTAAATACACCATGATTGACCCATGATATATTCTTAAAATTAAAAGTTCATTTTGATTGTGTTCACAATAATCATGCATAATTTGAAAGACAAGAAGACAAGAAGACAAGTGAACCAAACACACCAGCAAGATAAAATACTTCTTGTAGCATTTAGATCCAAGTAAATTACACCTCCATCACAGATAAAAGCAGTGCAACACATGCATAAATAATCATTATTTTCCGTAGCTTGATACTTGCATTGCATTGACACAAAGGAGAAACAATTAGAAAGTGTGTTTTAACTTTGATGTTCATGAACTTAACATTTCATTACAAACCGAAAGTAATTCTCCCCGTTTTAACGTTCAGGATTATATGAATATTATTTCACAATCCACAGTCCAAGTACACAACACACATAGTTACTTTATATTCTGGAAAACATAAAAAGAGACACATTCAAGAGGCTATCAAATCATGGTATCTCAAGGTTTAGATCCACTTGCTAAGGAGAAGGGCGTTGGTTGAAGGAGAAGTGGAACCATCTTGCTGACAGTGAGCCCATACGTCTCGTTCATGTCAATACCTTGCTCTGCTGCATCAGTTTTAGGCAGCTTCCAATCGAACCAATAAAGAAGATTGGCAAGGGCATACCCAACTACAGTCATCCCAAATGAAATTCCTGGGCATCCCCTTCTTCCAGAACCAAATGGAATAAACTCGAAATCTTGTCCTTTGAAATCTAAGTGGCTGTTTTTAAATCTATCTGGAAGGAACTCGTCTGGTTTGTCCCAAAGTTCAGGGTCCCTCTGTATTGCCCATGCGTTGAACATTACCCTTGTCTTGGCTGGAATATCGTACCCTCTCAGCTTCACATCAGAGGTTGTTTCTCTAGGAATCAAAAGAGGAGCAGGGGGATGTAACCTCAAAGATTCTTTGAGTACACAATTTAAGTAACTCATTTGTTTCAAATCATCTTCATCTACTTCTGCTTTATCCCCCACCACTCTTCTTACTTCTTCCTGTGCCTTTTCCATGGTATTTGGATTCCTCATGAGCTCTGCCATAGTCCATTCCAAAACTGTTGAAGATGTGTCACTTGCCCCTATAAACATGTCCTGAAGTGATGGATAATGGAAATTAAACCTCATTTTTAGGTGATTAATTATTAGAAATTACCTGCCTCAATTTCTTTTTCCTTCAATGTCTAGAAAAAGAAATCAACAGATGAGAAAACTTTTAGTTTCTTCAAGATTAGTATTAAGGGATTACGTGAATATCAGAAAGTGAAAGTCTTATTCTATTTAGGGAACAGTACATGATCTAAAGTTTTAACAAATTAACAATCCAAAAGAAGAAAATATTAGAAACACGGTTAAAGAGCAAGTGATTTATTGGGAGAAAGACTAACCATTACAAATGCTTTGAGAACATCTTGGGAGAGCTGAAAGCCAAGCAAACCGGCCTCATGAAGTTGAAAAAGAATATCCACGAAGTCTTTCTTTTCGGATAGGATACCATCCCTCTTCTTCATCTTTTCTTTATGTTCTGCAATTACCTGATCAAAGAAACCATCTAACAAACGAAAAGTGGCCTTAAACTTTGAAATTTGGCCCGTTAGAACATCAACCCAACCCAAACAAGGGAAGAAATCTCCCACGCAGAAAGCTGTGAACTGACTCAGCAACGTCCTTCCAATCTCCCCAAAGCTGCTCCTACCATCCGGAGTATCATATTTTTGTCCAAGAATACACCTCGACATTATGTTGTTGGAGAGTGCAATCAACAACTCACTCAGGTTCACAGAGGCTGTTTGACTAGCACACGCTTCGCGTATCGCACCCACCATTTCTGCAACTTCTTCGACGCGGATGAAGTGCAGCGACCGCACGCTTTTCATGCTCACAAGCTCAAGAGCGCATACCTTCCTCTTCTGTCTCCACTCCTCGCCGTAGGGGGCGAAAGCCACGTCCTTGTAGCCGTAGAGAAAGACTCCGCCGGCGGCGGATTTTGGCCTGTTCAACAAAGCGAGGTCGTGGGCTTTGAGTATTTCTCCGGCCACGTCAGCAGATGAAACGACGAGCGTTGGGACCTGCCCCAGCTGCAGCAACATGAGAGGACCATGCTTGCGAGAGAGAGCTTGGAAGGAACGGTGTGGCAATGTGCCAAGCTGATGAAGATTTCCTATGACGGGTATCTTTGGTGGGGATGGAGGTGAATTGCGTTTGGTTCTTCTGGAGAGTTTAAACACGACAAACACAACGCTGATGAAGAAGCATAGGAAGGAGAATGATGCGGTTGGCTTTGACGAAGATGGTTGTGGAGTTGATTGAAGAGCCATTTTCCTGTTTTGTATTAGAGAAAATGACAATGCATCATCGGACACAAATCATTGCATCTTATTTATAGAAGAAAGAGAAATAATATATTTACAACCTTTTTCAGGTGGATGATAACTTTTTTGTAATAACAAAAAATAGTATAAAAAGAATATTATTATTATTATTACTATTATTATTATACCATAGAATTATAGAGTTGTATTAAAATATCATCTTCCTACAAGAAAAATAATAAATAAATACCCAATAAACAAAAATCTAATCAGTTGAATACCTTTATTATAACTAATCAATAAAAAAATTAAAAATAAACAAATAGAAAATAAGGGATACAAAAGTTAGGTAAAAAGAGTGGCACGTGAATCGCCACTTTTTAGAAAATCTTGAGTTTTTTTTTTTTTTTCAATTATACAATAATATAACTACCTTTTTTTTAGTAGAACTAGAGTATTAAATTCAACTTAGATTAATTGAACATAATGAAATTCTAAGCATTGAACTGCTTTTATATTAACAGCTAAACTAATTTTTTTTATAATTTAAAAAAAACCTAACTAATAGAGTACATTACTTAAAGTATTATAAAGATTAAAATAAAATATTTACATAATCATCCCTTATTATTGTTGAAGTCATTAAATCTTTAGGTGATTAATTAAATCTAAGTTGTAAAATTTGTTTTTTAAAAAGTATTTTAGTATTAAAATTGTATTCTAATAAATTAATAACTTGACACAACTTTCTATAATCATTAATAATAATATTTATTAAAATTCATTTACCTTTCATTTATAATTTACATTTGTATTGGTTATTATATACAATTTATTTTTAAAAAAATAGTGGTATAAATAATTAATAAATTAATTTATATATGAATTTAAAAATGGAAAGATATGGAGTGATAAATTCTTTTTGTCTTCTCTTCGGGTGTATAATAATAATTAATTCAAATAATTAAGTTAATTCAATTTTGAAAACAACAGTTTAATTAAAAAAATATTTATAAATATAGTTAACTAAGCTTTAAAATAGTTCAATTCAATTCACTTGAATTACTTTTTAGTTCAGTTTAATTTGAATATAATTTAGCTCAATTAAACTGATTTGAACACCCTATACTTAACCTAAATGGAAAGGAATATTAATAATCTAGGGTTTGATGATTTGAGGTTGAAAAAAAAAAAATATAAACTATCAAATAATTGAACTACACCAGACTAAAAAAAGTAAATTATTTTTATCAAAACCAAAATGAACCGTATATTAAGCTCAATTATTTAAAAAACTGAATGATTAGAGTAAAATAGTTTAGTACATTCACGTTCAAAATAAAAATAAAATAACAATATTATCCATTCATGCTTCACATTTCAACATTGTTTGGGATACAAATTTTTTATTGATAATATTAAAAAGGTTGCTTAATTAATGGAACACCACCTCAGAAAGCTTCCCTGTCAAAATCATACAACAGAATGCATTTCTCCTGCCACTACTTTGAGAAGGTCTTCCAGTTCTGGTTTTTTATTCATAAACCTTCAGCACTAAGATTTTTTAACTTTTATTTAATGTTAAAGTTTATTTGTGTTCAGAAAAAGTTAATTGTAGATGTGAAGTCATTATGTTTACTACTTTAATAATTTTTGCCTAATTAGAAGTCTTATCAGAACTAGTTACGCTGAAGATGACAGAAGAACAGCAGAAAATGTTTTTCATACTTTATTCAGAATACCCAACTGAAAATAAGACTTACAAAGTCTGCTGACTATATCAGGAAAATACATAGAACACAAATTGCGACAAATGTAATTGACGAAAATTTAAAAATTACATAAAACAATAAAACGGATAAATTCTGCAGATGATAATTGACAACAATGATCACTTATAACAGTTGTAGAACTTAGATAGATGAAATAGTTATTGGTTGAAGATAAAGTGGTGTTTTCTTTGAGACAACGAGTCCAAACATCTCGGTCATATCGATATCTTGTTTAAGTCTATCAGACTCAGGCAACTTCCAATCGAACCGATAAAGAAGGGTGGCCAGAATATATTCAACAAAAGTAACTCCAAAATTCATTCCAGGATATCCTCTTCTCCCAAAACCAAATGGAATAAAATGAGAATGTTGACCTTTAAAATCAATTTCACTGTTTTCAAATCTCTCTGGCATGAATTCTTCGGGACTTTCCCAAAATGTAGGATCCCTTTGAATTGCCCATGCATTAACATAAACCCTTGTTTTTGCTGGAATGTCCTATCCTTTCAATTTAACACTAGATATTGTTTCCCTTGGAGCCAAAAGAGTAGCAGGTGGATGCAACCTTCGAGTTTCTTTGATTATGCATTTCAGGTAATGCATTTGACTGATGTCACTCTCTTCTATATTTGATTTATTTCCTACGATTTTTCTCACTTCTTCCTGTACTTTCTTCATTATGGTTGGGTTTCTCGCAAGCTCTGAAATAGCCCATTCTAATACAACTGCACCTGTGTCAGTTCCTCCAACGAACATATCCTGAGTTATTTAAGAAAGCGTTTATGAAATTTGTTAAAGATTCACACAATGGTTAAGGATTGAAATAAAATAAATAAGTAAAAATGATAGCGATGGAGTGAACATGTTTATGATGCAGTAAAAAAATTGACAAAACAGATTAAAAAAACATACCAGGAGAAGTGCTTTGAGGTCATTTTTGGTGAGCTCAAGGTTAAGCATGTCACTCTGTTGATGTTGGAGTAGGATATCCACAAAGTCTTTATTTTTCAAGTGGTCACATTCCATCTTCTCTGTCAAATGCTCCGCAATTGTTTGGTCAAATAAAGCATCCAGTGCATGAAAAGTGGCCTTATATTCTTGAATTTTTCCAGTCAGATAATCAACCCAACCCAGCAAATGAAAGTAATCTCCCACAGTGAAAGCTACAAGCTGAACCATAACGTTCCTTGCTAATTCTTTCACTCTGCTGTAACCATCTCTCGTGTATTTCCGTCCAAGAGCACATTTACACACGATGTTGTTCGATGTTGAGTTAAGCATTTCGCTTAGATTTACATTGCACTCATCACTGGAGCTCACATCACGAAGTTCATTCACCAATTTGGCAACTTCTTCTCTGATTTGGTGAAGTGATTGAACCCTTTTCATGCAAGTACACATATTTTTTCTTTTGTGTCTCCAACTTTTTGTTGTAAATTAAGGGGTACTGCAACACGTTATAGAAAAATGTTTCAGAGAACGTGTTCTCACACACGTTGTAGAATACTGTTTCAGAGAACGTTGCAGAAGACTGTTTCAGAAAACGTGGCAGAAGACTGTTTCAGAGAACATTACAGATGTCAAGTCTTCTGTAGGTTTACTGAATAAAACGAATGGAAAAGAGTAAAATAAATGGGAAAAAAATGGAGAGAATGAATATGAAATTAAATCAATCATTATTCAGCTTGTATTTAGAATGTTAGTTCAAAATACATTTATAATACTGCAGTAACGTAAAATGTAGAAAAAAACTAATTTGAGATATTCTCTCCTAAAATCTAGGCACATTTACTTTGACTAGAAACCCTTATTCAACAATCAAAACAGAAAAATTAAAACAAATAAAAATATCATGTGCAGTCACGTGCAGTCTAAAACTTAAATATCTAACACTCCTCCTTGGTTTTGGAACTGCAAACTCCAATCTTCTGCCTTAGAAATTCAAACTTGTTGAGTGGAAGTGGTTTAGTAAACAGATCAGCAACCTGGTTTTCAGTTTTGCAATAAATTAAAACAACAACTCCATCCTTTTGTACCTCCCTTAAGAAGAACAACTTAATGTTAAAATGTTTAGTCTTCCCATGAAAAACAGGATTGTAAGAAATGGCTATTGCAGCTTGGTTATCAACAAAAACTTCTGTACTTTCCTTCTGCTCCATGTTAAGATCAATTAGAATTTTCTTCAACCACAAGACTTGGTTAACAGCAGCTGCGGCAGCAATAAATTCAGCTTCTGCTGTAGATTGTGCAACAATTTCTTGTTTCTTTGAACTCCAAGAGAAAACACTAGATCCAAAACTAAAATAGTACCCTGAGGTACTCCTCATATCATCAATTGAGCCACCCCAATCACTATCTGAGAAACCTTTCAGTTTGAATTCTTCAGTTCTCTTAAACTTGATGCCAAAATTGTAAGTTCCTTTGATATATCTAATAACCCTTTTTGCAGCCTTGAGATGCATTTCACTTGGGCAATGCATAAACCTAGATAAAATACTTACAACATTTAAGATGTCAGGCCTAGTTGCTGTAAGGTACATCAAACATCCAATTATGCTTCTGAAAAATGCTTGGTCTATCTTCTCAGTTCCATCTTCCTTGCATAGTTTTTCCTTTTGATTCATTGGAGTGCTCATTTCTTTGCATTCTTCAAGTTTGAACTTCTTTAGAATTTCCTTGGCATATTTTTCTTGAGAAATGAAGATTTCATGTTCTCTTTGTTTGATCTCAATGCCAAGGAAGAATGTCATTAACCCAAGGTCTGTCATCTCAAAGACCTCCATCATTTCTTTCTTAAACTTTTCCATCAACCTTGTGTTGTTTCCTGTTACAAAAAGATCATCCACATAAAGGGAGATAATAATAATGTTAGCTTTATCATCCTTAATATACAATGTTGATTCAGCTAAGCTTTTGATAAATCCCAAGTTCAGCAAATGATCATCAATTCTGCTGTACCAAGATCTTGGGGCTTGTTTTAGCCCATGTAGAGCTTTCTTAAGCAAATAAACCTTATCTTCTTCTCCTTCCTTTACAAAGCCTTGGGGTTGTTCAACATAAATTTCTTCTTGTAAGAAACCATTTAAAAAGGCTGATTTAACATCAAGTTGATAAATCTTCCAATTCTTTTGGGCAGCTACAGCAAGTAACAATCTAATGGTGTCTAATCGAGCAACCGGTGCAAATGTATCTGAGTAGTCTACACCAGAAATTTGTGCATAACCTTTTACCACAAGTCTTGCCTTGTGTTTGTTGATAGAACCATCTGCATTTAGCTTAGTTCTGTACACCCACTTGACCCCAATCACTTTTTTGCTTTGAGGTTTTTCCACAAGAATCCAGGTTTGGTTTTTTTCTTATCATTGCCAACTCCTCCTGCATTGCAGCCATCCAATTTGGATGTCTCTTTGCTTCTTCATAATCTGCAGGTTCACATACAGAAACATTGCATCTTTCATAAATTTCAGAGAGCAATCTAGTACCTCTTACTGGGACATCATCCACCAATTCATTTTGCCAACTTTCATCTTTATTTTGTTTTGTGTTTGAGGCAGATGGCTTGACCTCCATATCCATCTTCCTTTTACTGTCCCAATTCCATTCTTCATCCTCCATAAATTGAACATCCCTGCTAATAACTATTTTTCCAGTTGGGGGCTGAAAGACTTTATAGGCTTTACTGGTTGTACTATAACCTATAAAGATACCTAATAATGCTCTTTTATCTAGCTTATCTCGTTTGCTTTGTGGGACATGAGTAGAACACAAACAACCAAATATTTTAAGAAATTTCAAAGATGGTTTGTAATCATACCAGACCTCAAATGGTGTTTGGTCCTTCAAAGCTTTGGTGGGTAGCCTGTTCTGAAGAAAAACAGTCGTGCTTGCTGCTTCTGCCCAAAATTCCTTCGATAAATTTTTTTCAAACAACATGCATCTTGTCATCTCCAAGATATATCGATTTCACCTTTCACTAACCCCATTTTGTTGTGGGGTATAAGGAGCAGTCAGTTGATGTCCAATGCCGGAATTCTCACAAAAAAGATTGAATTTTCCAGACGTGTACTCAGTGCCATTGTCTGATCTCAAGGTCTAAATTCTTAAACCAGTTTCATTCTCAACTCTGGCTTGGAATTTCCAAAATATCTCAGCAACCTCTGATTTGTTCTTAAAGAAAAATATCCAACACATTCTTGTAAAGTCATCAATAAAGAGAATATAATAAAGATTACCTTTCAATGACGGAGTTCTTTGAGGACCTGCAACATCTGTGTGAATTAATTGCAACTTTCTTGATGCTCTCCAGACAGTTTTTGAGAAAAGTTTTCTGTTTTGTTTGCCAAATTGACAAGCCTTGCAATTTGAAATTCGATCCTCAAGGTTAGGAACATCAAGTGCCAACTCTTGTTTACACAACTGCAGTAGTCCCTGGTGATGGTAATGCCCAAGCCTTTTGTGCCAAGTTTTTGTGACATCTTCCTTAAGTGAGAAAGCAGCTTGCTCCTCCTCTAAAGGATTTAGAGAAAAACTTTTTCCTTTCATTTTTACCTTGAACATATCCTGTCCAGCTGCATCTTTAATCAAGCAATGTTTGTTTTCAAAAACAACTTTAAATCATTTTTCAATGAGTTGACCAACACTTAATAAGTTTTGGTCAAGTTGAGGAACAAAAAGAACATCAGGAATAAATTTTGTCCCTGCACAACTTGTTATTGCAACTGTACCCTTTCCTCTAACTGTTATATAATCACAATTACCTATTTTTACTTTAGTGACATTGGTTGACCCCAAATATTTGAAGAGTGACTTGTCAAAGGTCATATGGTTGGTACAACCACTATCAATTAGCCAACTTTCATTGGACTCATTGCCCAAGAAACATGTAGCCACAAATAGTTGGTCTTCCTCCTCCTCTTCTGGATCAGCAATTTGAGCTCCTTCATCGTGGTGATTTTTGCTTTTGCAAATTATAGCTTCATGCCCCATCTGGTTGCACTTGTTGCATTTTGCCTCTGGTCTTCTCCAGCATTTGAAGGGCGGATGACCTTTTTTACCACAATGTTGACAAGGTGGATATGTTTTCTTTCCTCCCTTGCTTCTAAATTGATTGTTTGTTGAACTTACATTGCTTGATGCTTGATTCTTATCAATTTCATGATGTTTGACTGGCAAAGCACCTTCAACAACATGATTTTGTCTCATCATTCTTCGTTGTTCCTGAGCCTGTAAGGCATGTAACACTTCTGACAAAGTGATCTTAGAAAGGTCCTTTGAATTCTCCAATGAAGCTATAGATGCTTCATGCCTTTCTGGTACAGTTACCAGGATTTTTTCAACAATTCTAGAATCTGCAAAATCAGTTCCCAATAACTTTACCTTGTTGGAAATATTTAGCAATTTGTCTGAATACTCTTTGACTGTATCAAACACATTCATCCTTTGAAGCTCAAACTCTCTCATTAAATTAAGCACTTGCATGTTTCGAATTCTTTCATCTCCAGCATATTGTGTCTTGAGATAATCCCAAATTGCCTTTGCTGATTTGAGAGTCATGACCCTAGTAAAAACCGTGGTAGAAACCCCAGCAAAAAGGCATGACCTTGCCTTTGCTTTTTGTACATACATGTGAGTAGAATATTATTTTGTCCACATATTATTTTGTACATACATATAAGTAGAATATTATTTTGTCCATATATTATTTTGTACATACGTATAAGTAGAATATTATTTTGTCCCCATATTATTTTGTATATACCTATAAGAAAGGGTTGAGACTGTATGAAACCAGTGGATCTAACCCCACTTTACGTTCAAGAAAGAAAATTAATTTTTGTGGAAAGTAAGGTCATCATGCACCTCAGTGTAGACATGGAATGAGAAACGACAATCCTCCTAAGGCAAATTTAGCCAAAAGAGAATATACAATTATTGTAGTCGTTTCCCAAATAAATCTTGTGACAAATGTGAGCAAATGAGTGGTAGACTCTGGTGCTACCAGACACATCTGTGCAAACAGAAGTGCTTTTACCTCCTACACTAGTGTGAGGATGGAGAATAACATATTTATGTCGGTGATTTCAGGATAACTCTTGTCTTAGGAAAAGGAAAAGTTCTTCTAAAACTCACATCTAGAAAGACTCTTCTGACCTTGAATGATGTGTTACATGTGCTATTAATCAGAGCTAATATATGATCTGTGACATTTATAGATGATTACTATACATACACCAAAGTATACTTAATCAAACAACTCTAGTGCACCAAATAACCTCTGAGAGAATATATACTTACAGTGTGTTTTTTAAGAAAACTGGTAAAACTCCCTATGAGTTATGGAGAGGTTATGAACCTAATATTAAATATCTAAGAGTGTGGGGTGTCTAGCTAAGGTAATGTTA